GTCTAGGAGTGGAGAGGGTAGAAATCCGTTTACAAGCCGAGGTCGAGAAGTGGAGAAGGTAGAAATCCGTTTACTAGCCGAGGTATAGAAGTGGAGCAGGTAGGATCAGAAGTAGAGCAGCTGATCTTCATGCAGCACCTGTGCGAATAATTCAGCCCTTTGAATCTGGCGCGGTCCTCCTAAGTATCGTGGAGGGACCGCGTCAGAGAAAGGGGCGGGGCTGAGCGCCGTGAACCCGGAAGTGGGTTCCGGCGATAAATTACATGCCATGCTATACCTGACAATAACACTATTTACATGGGGTGGCTCTCAGCATGTTGCTCACAATAAAATAATATAGTGGATGGTAAAACCTAAATACTGTGGTACTGTAATAATATAATATAACACTGTTTTCATCTTTCCTAGGTTTTCAGTGGTATTTTGCACTATGAGGGACCACTACAAGTTTTGCTGTATTTTAGCTTTTTTGTTTCTTCTGAGCTTTTTTTTACAGCGTAAGGTTATCAAGGTATGTTGCTCTTCTCTTATTGTTTTAATGTGATGAATCTGTTAAACCAACAATGCTACTGAACAGTACTGTAGGAACATGTTAAGGGGAAATAATGCCATAGAGGTTTTCTCTTGATATCATAATAAACCACAGAAGATCAAGTGGAATGTTTCCTGAACCCTGACAGTGCATCATTTTACCTTAATACATGCTTCACCGCATGCTTTATACATGTATCCTTTATATTACATGATCTTTTTTGCTGCTTTAAAATGTTACGGTTAGTGTTATAGTTAACATTAGGGCAGTGTAGAAGGAGGTATTTTAAATATCTTGTGAATCCCAAAATCATATTATGTTCCCTTAATGACAATATACCACATGTGGTTGACGTGCATAAAAAATTGCATCTGTTGGTCAGAGGCTTTTGAGTTACCCAATGAACTTCTTGGTTTTACAGCAGAACCTAACCAGTGGTTATCTCTCACAGAAGTAATGAAAGCCTGGAATAAAAGGTCTATCACAAATTTACCTAGCCACCAGATATTATGTGATCCGGATGTGGAAAAGAGGGGTTCCCTCCAGATTGCACCTACAAAGAAAAAGTAGTTTTATTTATGAAATGAGCAGCATGAATGGTAAGATTTAGGACAACTCTCACATATTCTATCAGATATGGGCCCCATTGATTGTGCTTTCTAGCTTGGCAAAAACAGCTAGTATTGGGGAATGGTATCAAATGTTGGATCACCTATTCACCAATACCACAAGGAGGGAACTGGAGAGAAGGAGTATTGACAAGTCTACAGGTCGAACACTAACTCGTATCATAAGCCATCAGTGGAAGCTCATACCAATTTAACCAGACTGTTTCCATTACTTGGTAAAAAGGAAATACTTTCAATAAAACTTATTTATTTAAACAGGCTTATTCATAGATAATGGTCAGACAAATACATTTGAATATAAAAAGAAAAAGCCAGAGAATTGGATAAATAAAAAAGTCACCACAATTAAATGTAATTAAAAAATGTAACCCTGAGGGGCAGAGCATAGCAGCCAAGCTGACTGGTCGCATACTTTGTGAGCTCCATGCAGACTGGCTCTAAAACAGCTAGTATTACACATTATTGCTGTGAATTTACTAAGTGGAGAGACAGACACTGCATCTCACCTACTTATGTTCCTGACCGAGACCGGCGGCATTCTCCAGAGGTGGAACTGGGGCCTACCAGAGGCCTACTAACAGTGACCGCGAGGGAGGCGGCCGATCCCTGAACTCGTTGCCACACACCTCATACGGAGACCTAACTTGTACTCTCCACCCCACCCTCCTTGCCAGTGAGGGTTATCCCGGCACCTTCTATCCGTGCCTCATTGGAATCGCTATTGCGATTACCCATCTGTAGCAGCCAACCTGCAGTAACAAAGACTCCAGCACCCCGGGGCACGCAAATGACCATCTTAGAAAAGCTGGACTCCCTATTTGAGATCTTCTGGTCCAAGCTGACCCGTCACCTGCACACACCTGCTGAAGTGCCACAGGCACCATCCTTACATCACACTATTGCGACCTCGAGACGACGCCCTGGCGCAGCACACAAAGCCGGGAAACAGAGGCGGTTTATGCGGCAATCACTTCGCCACAGAAGAGCCGGACCGGCACCAACCCGCTTACTATTATGCCGCTACTAGCCTCTTACTATTATGCCGCTACTAGCCTCTATGTATAAATCTGCACAACAAAAAATAATGGATTTTGTTTAAAAAATCAATACAATATTACTTCTAATAAAAAGACAAACTTAAAATAATTATTAGTTCAGAATCAGAGGTCAAAAGAGAAAAATGTATAAAAATACTAAGATAAAACGTTGAATGAGAATAAAATTTAGCAAGAAAGAAATTGTTTTTAATTAAAAAGCCACAATGTATCCAAAATGGATATTCATATCCTCATAGGAAACAAACCATGTCAAAGTCTACATTTAGTCCTTGTGGCTGCATGGTTTTTAGGGTGTATATCCAAAACCCTCTCTCTGTCTCAGTTTAGTGACCAAATCACCTCCTCTTTCATCAAGTGAAATGTTTTCTAATCCTACATAAGAGAAATTGACTTTTTGACATTTGTTGCAATGTAGTGGCACTGAATGTGTAATTAATTTATTTTTCATATTGTTCCAATGCTCTAAAAATCTCTTTTTGAAGGGGTCTGGTTGTCCTACCGGTGTATTGTACCCAGCATTCACATGTTAATAGATACACCACATGCGTGGTATTACATGCTATTTGGTCCTTGATCTTAAATGACTCACCAGTAACATAGCTCTTAAAACGATCAGTTTTTTTGTGAGGTATATTGGCAACTTTTGCATAACCCGCACATATAGAAACCTTTATTAAAAGATTATTTTTTAGAGGAATTTCTATATGTGCTTGGTGCTAAAATATTTGTAAAATCTCATCTTCTAACAAAAGAGGCTAGTGCTTTTTCAAGATTTTCTTAATTTTTAAGGCATGGGCATCATACTGTGTATTAAAAGTGAAAGCAAATGTATTATTCGTGACAACGGGGTTAGGTTCCTTGTCTATTAAAAAATCATTTCTTTTCATATATAAAACAGGTGAAACTTCTTTATCAATGATAATCTCTGTATAGCCCTTTTCCATAAATTTACTTTTTAAGAGCTTGCTCTAACAAAACAATCTTGATCTGTGCAGTTTCTTCATAATCTAGTCAGTTGGCTACAGGGTACTCCCCGGAGCCAAGTAGGGTGTAACTGTTGGCATTTGTGGGTTTTAGTTCTTAATATAAATTGTAAGATCTAGAAAATGAATCTTGTTTAAATTAATAGTATGATTAAAAACTAATGATAATTGATTATCATTAATTAAGGCAATAAAATTATTTAGATTATCTACTGTGCCCTTCCAAATTGTTAAAATGTCATCAATATAACTTCTCCAAAGCACCAAGTGTGTGCCAAAAGTGTTTTTGGACCAAATATGATTTGTTTCCCAATAATCTAAAAATAAATTGGCATCGCTTGGTGCGAACTTGGTGCCCATTGTAATTCCTTGTAACTGGAGAAAGAAGTCACCATTAAAAAAGAAAGAAATTGTGTGTCAAGATAAAATGAATACCATCTACTAAAAATCTATTAATATCTGTAGAGATATCCCTGTCTAAAACCGTTTTGACTGCCAGGAGGCCTAAACTAAACTATGTTCTATAATAGTGGATAAGAAAAGGGAGGGATTCCCACTATCATCACCTGCAGACCTTGATGCACTGTACCTAGGGCTGGTAAATCCTGAAGGGATCGAAACGTTGCTTTATCTGTCATGTTTTTTCAATAAATCTGCTGATGTATGAAGACCCTGAGTGCCTGGACTACTTTGCTGTTACTAGAGTGGTGTAGAGTGATGTGACATCTTTATTAAGCTAACACCACAGAGCACAAACCATTAATATATATGGTATCTCATTAACAATAAATACAAATTAACAACCAATCAATATACAAAATTGTGTATTCTAGCAAATACAATTGCAAAATAACCCCACAAGGTATCATATTATATTGTTGATCACAATGCATGTACATAAGCCCAGTTGTTATACCTTACTAAAAAATGTACACAAGAATTAGGTTTTAGATGTTAGATTCAAATGGAATTTACCCCTAGTAATTCAAAAGTTACTTACATTTATTGCATGCTAAAAACAGAGGTAACTAACAATCCATCCAAGTGGGTATAATTACTTGATAATTACCTAATCATGCTAAGTTTCATTACATCTTCCATTTACGGAGAATTCCTGCCTCCTTAATACAAGGTCTTCAAGTGTCCAAAATTAATCTACCTCTGCAAATTGTGGAGTGCCCACAGAAGCCTTTGAGGGTCAAAACAGTTGAGAATGCGATCAAAACATGGCAAAAAGCTATTTAAATAGGACTTGTAATAAAAGACTATCAGCAAACTGGTCACAGATGCATGCACAGCCATCCACAAAATAAAAATACGATATTATACTAATATAGGTTACAAATTTTACTTTCAAAAGAAAAACACTATTACATTTAAAAAAATATATGGTAGCATTTTTTGCTACTATATGTAAATATGCTCTGAATATAAACCTGGCGTATGTTGAAACCTTTTTGGCTAGGAACTTATAATTATAACTTTTTTAAATGTTAAATGTGGATCCTTTGTAAATGGATATTCCTATAAAGTGTTTTTAGTATTTTTTTAAAAGTAACATTTGTAACCTATATTAGTATAATATTGTATTTTTTATTTATTTTGTGGATGGCTCTGCATGCATCTGTGACCAGTTTGCAGTTTGTACTACATTAACATGGTGTTTAATTCTCGATTAAAAATCTGATTGGTGTTAGATACAATTTTTTTCTAAGTTACTTTGTCCCCCAAGAGTCTATCTGATTCTTTAAATAAAATTCAGTGGACATAACAAAAATTCCTCCCCCTTTGTCCGCACTCTTTATTACAAAATCCTTTCTATTTTTCAGTTGTTTTAATTCTCAAGTTTAAGGTCAAGAATGCTGATATCTCTATTGACCATTTTTAAAAAATGCTTCTATTTGGTGTATTTTCTCATTTGGACAGAAAGTAGACTTGAGTTTAAAAATTTGGTTGGTTGCATTTATGTCTCTATAAGACAAAAAGATTTCCACAGTGGTAATGCATGCTCAAAACAGTCCCGTGGGGGATTCCCTTAACCGACACCTTAATAATAACAAAAGCTGACACAAATAGGGATGGAGCACAATTCGCTAAAATAATATACATACATATATTCGATGTATAGTGAGGTAGATGCAGGTTCTAGAGGGAAAAACATAAAAGTAACTAATAGTGCATATAAATAAACAGGTAAAATAGGAAAAAGGCTAATTGGAAGCACTCACAAAGGTGCTCAAAAAAAGTAACTTGGCTCTGGATCAGGATGCGAGATGGCGTTAAAAAAGATCAGGACGAGAGATGGCGTTAAAGAAGCGCTGGAACGCAAATTGCGTTCCATTTGAAACAAAGACGCGAGGATCTGACATCACAACATATCTCAGATGAAAGAAGGAGGAAATACGTCAGTGGAAGTGCCGACAGACATTTGGAACACAGGTTGTGTTCCACCAACTCCAAAAAGCCCGGGAACTTAGAAATAACCACCTATTTAAAGATACTCCACACGGACACTTCCTACTTTTCCAACTGAAGAAGCCTGAACTGGCAAAACGCGTCTTGGATGCTTATTTATTGCAAGGACCCCTGTTGAGTTTTTACTTTTGTTTTTATCTTAATATTTTATTTCCACTTTTGATTCAAATAAATAGTTTATATTCCACTTGCGAAGTGTCATACCATCATCTTTGGAATCGGTCTATACACAGAGGGTGCTGGATCTCTATTTAAAGATCCACAGGCGCTAAACACCAGAACCAAGTGCATTTTTTTGGCTCCACCAGTGTTAGTGTTTCCAGTTACTCTTTTTCCTATTTTACCTGTTAAAATGGATCTGCACTATTAGTTTATTTTATGTTTTTCCCTCTAGAACCTGCATCTACCTCAGTATACATCAAATATATGTATGTATGTTATTTTAGAGAATTGTGCTCCATCCCTATTTGTGGTAGCTTTTGTATTTTAAAAAAACCTTCTTTTTTCTAAAAACCTCTATAAAGACATCTTCTGAACAAATGTATTTAACCCCTTAACGCCATTACGGCGTTCTATGCCGTCCTGCATTAAAAGGGCTTTAAAGCCGTTGCAGCGGCATAGAACGCCGTAATGGCTGAAGCCCCCAGGAGTTTGGAAGGTACTTACCTCCGCCGCGATCCTCTTCTGTAGGGTTGCCTGACAGCCCAGGCAGCCCTCCCCGGCAATTGAGGCCCCCAGGGGCCATGTGATTGTTCTGAAAGAGCGATCACATGGCCCCCTATAGCTGGCTGTGGATCTGCCAGCAGGGGGACTGTCTGAAATGTCAGACTGCTTCCTGCTGGTAGGAAAGTAAAAAAAAAAAAAAAAAAGAATTAAACATGTTTAAAATAAAATAGAAATGTATTTATATATATAATATATGTATATCTATTATATATATAATAGATATACATATTATATATATGTAGCGCCATACAAAGTGTATTTTAATATTAATATAAGTACATATATTAATATTAAAATACACTTAGAATGAAGTTGCATGATATATATATAATAGATATATACACATATAATATATGCATATATACGTATAATTACAATAATAAATAAATAAAATAAATAAAATATTGAAACAAAATTTAATATAAATTATATATTCATATGTAATTTCATTCTAACTGTATTTTGTTACTAATATATATATATATTGGTAACAAAATACAATTACAATTACATTCTATATATATCTATCTATACATAAAATACAAATAACCGCAAATTTATATATATATAAATACATGTAATTACATAAAAGATTACATTAGTATACACGTGGAATTTAAATACCTATAAATGCATATATATTAAAATTCTACGTGTATATTTAAGTAATCTTTTAACATAATTATGTGATTTGATTAATTCAAATTTGATTGACATGCCTGACAACACGGGGAGAAAGTGCAGAGAATTTAATTCACAAGCACTATATTTGACCCTGTAACTCTCCAAGATACCATAAAACCTGTACATAGGGGGTATTGTTTTACTCGGGAGACTTCGCTGAACTGAAATATTAGTGTTTCAAACTGGTAAATCGTATTACAATGATGATATTTTACGTAAAGGTTACGTTTTTTGCACTTTTTACAAACAAACGGCACTTTTATGGACTAAATTATTGTTGTAATATGTTTTACTGTTTTAAAACAATAATATTTGTGTTTAGTGAAGTATCCTGAGAATAACAGTACCCCTGTGTACAGGTTTTATGGTGTTTTGGAAAGTTAGAGAGTCACATATAAGGCTTGCATTTCATTTTTTTTTACATTGATATTTGCCAGATTGGTTATGTTGCCTTTGAGAGCGTATGGTGGCCCAGGAATGAGAATTACCCCCATGATGGCATATCATTTGCAAAAGTAGACAACCCAAAGTATTGCAAGTGGGGTATGTCCAGTCTTTCTGAGTAGCCACTTAGTCACAAACACTGGCCAAATATTAGTTTTTTGCTTTTTTCACACAAAAACAAATATAAACGCTAACTTTGGCCAGTGTTTGTGACTAAGTGGCTACTAAAAAAGACTAAACATACCCCACTTTCAATACCTTGGGGTGTCTCCTTTTTCAAATGGTATGCCATTATGGGGTAATTCTCATTCCTGAGCTACCACACCGTCTCAAAGGTAACATTACTAATCTGGCAAATTTCAATGTGAAAATGGAACGTTCTATATTTGACCCTGTAACGTTTTAAAAAACCATAAAACATGTTAATGGGGGGTACTGTTGTACTCATGAGACATCGCTGATTACAAATATGTGCATTTTTGTGCATTAAAACCTAACAGTATTATGACATTCACAGCTAAAATGTCAGATGGAAATACACATTTAAAAAAAAATCTTATTTTGTCACATTTTTTTAAATTTTATTCATAATAAATTATGTTCCATATATGAATAGTTAATGATAAATTAACGCCCTGTCTCTCCTGAACAAAATGATATATAATAAGTGTGGGTGCACTTAATGTGACATCGGTGAATTACGGTTGAACAGACATATAGCGCAAATTCCAGTTTTTGTTTACATTTTGTTTTGATCAGAACGTGCACTATTGACTCCGTCCTGAAGGGGTTAGTTAGATAAATAGATTAAAAGGGTTGGCTGAAACATTCGTGTAAAACTTTAGCCCCGTTTCTAAAATGAGGATCTAATTTAAATCCGAGATGATAAAAATACCCCTTGAATGTACAATTTTAATCAATTTGATTGTATCTTCTTCTTGCTCAATTGCCTTCTCTTCTGACTATTACTAGCCCCCATCCATGAAATCAGTCTATAATAAAATAGCTAATACTTTCCTCCATTCTAGTGCCAAACTCATCTCGATGGTTATCCACTGATGTCACTTTCCTGATTTGAGTGGGAGTGATGTCACAAAGAGATGTCAAGGGGGGTGGGCTGAGGAGAGGACATGCCGTTGTCTGTCACCTGCATGCTGTGTGCGCAGACAGACAGACACCAAACATGCACAGAACTGACTATGCCAGCTCAGAACTCTTGTTGCCGGAGGTTTATCTCCACCACTGGCAACGCCATAAAGGCATTATTAGCTAGCCTGGGAACAAGTTAATCTCTGTATGTGCTGCATTTCATAGCAAAACTCTCCACATAAAGGCTCCAATCCCAATGATCTCTTCAAATCACTGAAGTGGTAATGGTGCTTGGAGTTATCATTTACCTTTTTTGCACCAGGTAAGAGGTTGGTTTAAGTTATGAAGGTTAGCAGAAGCATTTTTTTTTTTTTTTTTTACTCAATGTTCTTTTTTTCAAACTGAAGTTAATTTACAAATAGCCACCACATTTTTTTAATCATAACTTATTTGTTCTTTTACAAGATCCCTTCCTTTGTCCGGTTTAAGATAAACTGTGATGCGGTTCAAGACCATGAAATACAGAAGGAGGAAGGCATATGGAAGGAGACAACTGAACTGCAACTTGAAGTAAATAAAATCTTAAACAAAATTGACACCATGATTCCAAAGATCACTTTCTCCCACTTTGACAACACAACTGATGCTCGCAAGAGCATGGCCACACTAGTCAATCCTAGAGACAAATATTGTGTTGGAGACTCTCTAGTTGTCAAGGTTGATATGTTTGATCACTTGGGCAAGAGGAAGACCCATGGAGGAGACTTTCTTATGGCAAGAATATTTTCCTCTAATGTTAAAGCTGGTGCATCTGGAAAAATTGAGGATTTAGAAAATGGAACATATAACATTCACTTTACACTATTTTGGCCGGGTGTAGTTAACTTTTCCATCCATATGATCCATCCAAGTGAAGGTGTCTCAGCCTTGTGGCAAGCAAGAAATAAAGGATATGGCTATGTAAATTACACAGGGAAGTTTCTTAGTCATGGGAAAGTGGCCAATATGAAGTGTGGGTTTAATTTAAATGGAACACAAGAATTGTGTGAATATTCAGATCTCAAAGAAGAGGAGTATTTCTATTGTATGAAACCAGAGAATATGTCATGTGGATTGTTGGTCCAGATGATGAGTCTGTTTGTAGACTCACACTCCTATTTAAGTGATTCAGAAAAGCAACTTTTTAACAGGTAAGATAAATATATTTTATTTCTATACTGTGAATACATACTCATTGGCATACAGATATAGCCATCAGATGCAATTAGTCAATTAATCTTTATTTAAGATGCACCATTTAGCTTTCACCCAACTGGAAATTCAGAGCATCCTGCAAAGTTTGTTCTTTCTATAGATTTCCTAGCGACGAAGCTGTAAAAAGGCAAATTGTATTCACAAGTAAGGGCTTATAGATCATATAAAGTATAACTAGTTATCAGTACAAAAGTAGTATTTTATCAAGCCAATACATTTGTATGTAGCATATATCAAATTTAAATGGATCAATATCAGATAGATAATTGGAGATTAATTGGAAGATGCACATAGAAAATCATGAGATTTGTTATAAGTATCACTGCATATTAAGGAAACAGGATAAAAAGGTTTAATTTGAAATCAGAGCTGCATTCTTACTGTTTGCTTAGTGTATTCAGAAATATCTGAATACAGCTTGAATTCAAATCATGGTCAGTAAAAGAAAATGCAAATAAGGATTAGCTGATGACAGCTTCCAGTCTGCTGCAATATATATAGTGTGCTGGATTGATAGGAGAAAAAAATATGATCTATGACTTTGGGTCACTCTAAATGTTCCTTTTAATATAAACATGACCTATATTCAGTCCCCAAAACAACCATAGCTTAATGAAGCCATTTGTGTATAGATCATAAGTCTCACTGCTCAATTCCCTGCCATTTAGGAGTTAAACAACTTTGTTTATACAGTCCTAGTCACACCTACCAGTATGTAACTGCACAGACTTCCTCAACACTTCTTGTAAAGTGAGATCTAGAGTTTACAATTACTTTATTTTACAGCCTGTTTAATTTAGAATGTATTATCTCCTGCAATGTTAATAGCTTTCTAGACCTTGCAGGAGCCTCCTGTTTGTGATTAAAGTTCAGAGTTTTACAGAGCCGGATATAAAAACGAACACTCTAAAAAAAAAAGCAAATGTATTGCCTTTTATTTTCTTCCAGTGGAATATGCTCAGAAGCAAGTGTCTGGATATTACTCAGTAATTAGAGTGTAAGATAGTCCATAGAGGCACCTGGGACAGCCCCTTACCAGTTTGTATGTGGGAAAATAAATATTTGCAGTATTTTAGGACCACTAAGATTTTCTTTTCTCTGGGGGTGGAGGGGTACGATAACAATAAAATGGGAAAAAGATAGATTAACATCTTTATGCAATTTCCACCGTGTATGTTAAAATAAATCAGTATTTAACCCCTTAATCCCTTAATGACTAGTGACGGACGAGGCCCGTTACAGAGGGGAAACCCTTAACGACGAGTGACAGACCTCGTCCATCACGCGGTAAAATTAACCCCAGATCGCGCCGATCGCAGGGTTAATGGTGCTCTGCAGAGGCAGACCGGGAGCACCCGATCAGGCTGCCCCAGCACCGGTGCTCGCTCTGACAGGCTGTCAGAGCGAGCACATGTGCTCAGTATACTCACCTTTCACCTCCCTGCACTTCCGGGTTCTGTGTGAAGTGCGGGGAGACGGATCATCACTGAAAAAAAAAAATAAAGTTCATTTAAAATACCCCCCCCTTTACCCATTTTAATTAAAAATTATCCCCTTCCCTGAGAATTGATCACTGACTACAGTGATCAATTGGCAGTGATTACATTTTACTATGACCTGATTTTTTTTTTTTTAACCTCTGAGGGTTAATTCTTTTTTTTTTTAACCCTCAGGGGTTAAATTTATTTTATTAATTTAAATATTTTAAAATTATATATTTAGCTAGCTGGGGTGGATGGAAGTTAGTGGGGAATTGGGGGATTTGGTGTTAGGCTAACTAGGGGTTAACTTTAAAAAAAGTTTTAAAATAAGCTTTAAAAAGTTAGAAATTAAGTTAAAAAAAGTTTTAATAACGTTTAAGTAAAAAAAAAAAAACCTCCCCTTTAACCAGTCCAACTAAAAATTAACCCCTTCCCTGCTACTGCCTACAGTGATCAAAATACAGATCACAGTATTATACTGTGATCTAATTTTTTTTAACCTTTTTTTTTTTTTTTACTTTTTTTTCTTTATTTTAAATACATATATCATACAAATTTACAATACGACACAAGACAATATAGCAGCAAAATAGGAGAGAAGAAAAAGGTACCATTTAAATTTCCTTAGTAGAGTGGTAATATTTAAATATATCTCCTAATTTTTACAATGTTCATAGAATTAGTCTACTTCTAACTGATCAACATTATTTCCTACATCAATCATCTCAATACATTTTGACCAAACAAATACTTTATTGCTTAATTTTTGTTTACTTAGCATCAACTCCATTTTAATCTGAAACTCGAGTTGGTTTTTAACTTTCTTCCAGGGGACTTCTGAATCTTTTTTCCACCATCTCGCAATTACTATTTTAACAGCTAAAAAAAGATGTATAAGAATTACTTTTAGCTCGTACGTCATATGTGGCCAATTCAAGTGTAGCAAAACTACCTCTGGGGAAATTATCAACTCGAGTTTTAGATTGTTGGATATGAAATGCTGTATTTTCAGCCACAGATTTTTTAATTTATGGCAGTCCCACCAAATATGTCTAAAATTGCCTCTAATACTGTTATACCTCCAACAGGTAGGATTAGTTAAAGGATATATTTTATTCAAATTAGCTGGTACTAAGTACCACCTATTTAAAACTTTAAAGTGTGTTTCTAATAAATTTAATGAGTGTATGTTCTTCTTAACATCCATCATTGAAGAACCCCATTGTTTCATACTAATATCAATATTTATGTCTTGTTTCCATGTCTGTATAGCAGTAGGATTTATATCCTTGACCATTGATTTAGTTAATATCAAAGCTTTAGAGAGGGGTTTATTAATTTTTTTTGAGGTAAATAATAAATCAATCAGATTGCTCAAATTAGATTTTGGTATTTTAAGGTGTGTGTTCATATAACTTTTAAGTCTTAAAAAATTAAACACCTCTCTAGATGGAAGATTATATGCGCATGTTATTTGAGCAAAAGTTTTGATTGATCCTTCTATCAATAAATGATCTAAAGTCATTATCCCTGATTTTTTCCAGTTATTTAGATTTAAATCTTCCACTTGATTTTCTACAATATTTAACTCTAAGTAGCTTGGACCTTTTTTTTCTATATTCATTGCTTTTTTAATTTTTGACCAATTTTCCAATAATTGAGTTAAAATAATATTAGGATACTCTTTTTTTTAGCGTTTTATTTATATTCCAAATTAAACAATCTAAGCTAGAAACTTCTCCTGCCTTCATTTCCATTTTATACCATCCTTCATCTTTATTTTCTTTAATTTGCATTCTATAAATATGTAGAATAGTAGCTGCTTTAAATGGATAAGCAAGTCCACCTTTATGTAATTTTTGCACTAATATTGATTGTTTTAGTCTTGGCTTCTTACCTTTCCAAATATATTGAGTAAAGCTTCTTTGTATTAATTGAAGCCAATGAATTGGAATATGGAGAGGTAACATTTGGAACATGTAGTTCCACTTTGGTATGACATATGAATTAATGACGTTTATTCGTCCCCAAAAAGTAATCTCTAAATTTCTACGATCTTTTAACCATTTATTGAGGTCCAATAATAATGTTAGGAAATTTACTTCCATAATCTTGTTTGTCTCTCTAACTATTTTAATTCCTAAATAATCCATACTTTCCTTAACCCAAATAAAATCATATCTGTTTTTAGTCTCTTGTTGCGTTTTTTTATTGAGATTGATATCTAATATCAGGGATTTATTTGTATTTAACTTATAGTTTGATATAAAACTATATCGATCTATTTCTTGCATTGTATGTTCTAAAGAGTTTTTAGGATTTGTGAGAGTAATTAGAATGTCGTCGGCATATAGACAAATTTTTTGGTCCTCATCCATTATTTTATAGCCATTAATCTCCTTATTGTTTCTGATGTTTTCAGCCAATGGTTCAATAGTCAGCAAGTAAAGTAATGGTGAAAGGGGGCATCCCTGCCGATAATTTTTTTTAACCCTTGACGATTAACTTTTATTTATTTTTTAACCCTCAGGGGTTAAATTTTTTTAATTAACTAATTTAAATATTTTATAATTATATATTTTGCTAGCTGGGGTGCGTGGGAGTTATGGGAAAATGGGGAATTTACTGTTAGTGCTGCTTACTGCTAGTCAGGGGTTAATGGTAAAAAAAAAAGCTTAGAAAAATGTTAAATCTGTAAAAAAAAGTATTAAGAAAGTTTAGGAAAGTTTAAAAAAATTAATAAGCAAAACAAAAGTGTAAAAACTAGTTTTAAAAAGTAAAAAAAAGTTTAAAAAAGTAAAAAATAATACATTTAAAAATGCTCATTACCACTACACCTGAAACAAGCTAGAGAAAAAAATGATCCCACGCCAAGGTTCAAAATATGCCTTTTGAATTACCCCAGGGTGTATTCTTTAATAAATAGTATGTGTTTGTGGGGAAGTTTCAATAACTAACCATCTAAACTACTCCAAATTGGAACATGGACACAGTGTAAAACTTCAAAGTTAGAAAAAAACTGAATGGCTGCGTCTCAAATGTGCCCCTTCAACATCCACATATACCTGGCAAAGGTATATACGGGGGTATTGCTTTACTCAGACCACATAGCTGAGCAACATATGAAGTATTATACAGTCGTAGCACACATAAGGTTTGCAAAATATACTGTGCAAACTCACTTTGTGTGTCAAAAAGGCAGAAAAAACCCTTGTTACCACTACACTTGGTACAAGCTAGCGGAAAAATGACCCCACGCTAAGGTTCAAAATATGCCTTTTGAAATACCCTGGGATGTCTTCTTTAAAAAGAAATGCTATGGCTTTATGGGGTATGTGGCGAAACCAACCTCGCCACTGTGCACTGGAGAAGCCTGGTTGCTCGCCTGCTCCCTTTAGATTATGGCCCTGCAGTTCAGAGCTGTTATTCTCCCTGCTGAAAGGTTTATTCGTGCCTTTCTGCCAGGGTGTTCGGTAGATTCCATCTACCGAACAAACTACCGAACGATGGACCACCTGGGAGCTGGAGTGTGCAGTCAACTGACCGCCCAGAAGCTGCGGTTAACCGCAGCTTAATTGATCAACGCTGGGTGGCCGTTGTTCGTCTGCCGAACACGTGGCAGCGGCCATTTTACCTCCCGAATGGCCAGCGGTGTTCAGCGCCCAAACTATGGAACTGAAAACGGACACTTATTGGCGCGAACACCGCTGAGCCGCCAGCCTCCTTACCTTCCCATTCGGTAAGCAGAACCGAATGACTGTTCAATTGGTAGTTTCGCCGGATGAACAGCATCCCTCAGATAGCTAAGCCATGGAGCCTATTCGTGTAATGAAAGACTATGGGAAAGACTTTGGCTCCATGGCAATTGAACTGTATGTATGTGATCTGAGCGCCATTCGGTAGTAATGTGCGCTCAGATCCAAGCTATTTGGGGATATGTAGAATGTATATGTTTTAGGTAATAAATGTGACTGTATGTAATTTTATGTCTTTTACTGTATTGTTACTGCCATGAGGTTAATGGAGTTTTGCCTCTGTCCTGGGAAATAAGTGGATTACTTCCCCAATTATCTCCAGGACAGAGAGGAGGGATTGTGATGTAATTGTGGGAGTGTTTAAAGGTGTATGTCTGTGATTGGCTAAGAGACAATATGTTTCCCTGTTTCCCATTTGGTCCCCTAGGGCAGTGTCCACCAGGTGGGAGACCTGCATAAAAGCCAGGCAGTTAGCCCCAGTAAACCAGATTCTGCTTGACCCTCAAACCGAAGTGTCGTCTCGTCTTTGGGGGGATTTACTGTATGCTGTTAGAGACTGATTGCCAGGAGTGTAAGCCGCTTGGGGGCTTTTCCTGTTCGTCTGCTAACAGCTATTCGTGTGTCTCTAGTTCGGGAGTTTGGAACACTACTTGATATGCAGTTCGGGAGTTTCGAGTATTCCCTTGGTTGCAGTTCGGGAGTTGGTGAATTCGTGGATTTGCAGTAGCTGTCTGTGCATCTGAAAAAGGGGAATATCGCCTAAACGGTTTTTAACCTCTTGTGGGCAAAACGGTCCGTTACAGGGTATTTGGATTATATAGCCTGGTAAAATACTCTAAAATGGGACATGGGCACAGCGTAAAAATTTTAAGTTTGAAAAAAAACTGGAATGGCTTTGTCGCATTTGGGATGTCCACATATACCTGGCAAAGGTACATACGGGGGTATTGCTGTACTCAGCCAACATATGAAGTATTATACAGTGGTAGCACACATACGGTTTGCAAAATATACTGTGCAAACTCACTTTGTATGTCAAAAAGGCAGAAAAAACGATTATTACCACTACACCTAGTACAAGCTAGCGGAAAAATGATCAAATATACCTTTTGAAATACCCTGGGGTGTCTACTTTAAGAAAAAAGGCCTTTGTGGGGTAATTTGAATTTAAACCCTGCTAAGATGCTTGGAAATTGCACATAGGCCCAGCGTCAAAATTCAAAGTTCAGCAAAAACTGATATGGCTTGGTCTCCTATATGGCACTGTAGCTTCCCAAAATAGTGCCAAAGACATTCATTGGGGGTGTCTTTTTACTCAGAAGACTTAGCTGAGCATAATTTGGGGCTTTTGAACTTAGTGGCACATATGAAATATACAAAATGCCCAGCAAAAATGCAATCTGTATGTAAAAAAAAGCCCCAAATTATTTTTTACCACATCCTTTGGCAAATATTGGTGAAAAAATGGGGGAATGCTAAGGCACAATATGCACCTTATGAGATACCCTGGAGGGTCTACTTTTACAAATGGTAGGCCTTTGTGGGTTTTTTTTTTGAACAGTCAAACTGTTATAATACCCCAAATGGAAGCAAAGGCTTGTTAAATCCGTCTCTCAAAATTCTACTGTGAATACTGAAAAGGACAGGTCTCCTATATGGCACTGTAGCTTCACGAAATAGTGCCAAAGACATACAATGGGGGTGTCATTTTACTCAGCAGATGTAACTGAACACAAAATAAAACTTTGTACAGGAATAGCACACACCAACTTTACAAAATACACATGAGAATGTCTTTGTTATAAGTTTGTGTGCCAATAACCAAAAAAACCAAACACATTTTTACTCCAATATTTAGCAGAGGTTGGCGGTGAAATGGCTAAGTAGAAAGTGTCAAAACAACCTTAGGTAAATAGCCTGTTATGTCTACTTTATATACATATATACTTTTGTGTGGCAATTTTGTTTTCTTTTATGGCTATTAAGCTTACAAGACAAACATACCTAATTCTAAAACCGCTCCACATTAAAAGTTTATTTTACTCCTTGTGCTTTGTGACCTGTAACTACCAAAAAAAACTTAAAATCCCAGACACATTATATATTCTGTAAATCAGAACAACTAAATGAATTTATTTTTAATTACTTTCCTTAATCTGCACTAATTATGCACACATTATTATTGCAAAAACTGTAAAAAAACCCCATCATTTTTATTTTTTTTGCATTTTTCTGTATTTTTTTATAATAAATAAGTATATATATATATATATATATATATATATATATATATATATATGTGTGTGTGTGTTACATCAAATTAAAGCCCTTTCTGTCCTTTAAAAAATGGTATATAATATGTGTTGGTGCAATAAATTAGTAAAATGCAAATTGCAGTTGAACGTAAACAGCAAAAAATGCTGTTGTCATTAAGTGAAAGACAAGCTTCTGAAGCTCTGTCCTTAAGGGGTTAAGGACTGAGCCAAATGTACACGTTGTAATCAAAACAAAACGTAAACAAAAACTTTGTTTGAATTTGACTATATGTTCAACCGTAATTCACCTCTTTCATATTATGTGCACCCACACTTTTTATATATCAGTTTATTCAGGGAAAACAGGGCTTTCATTTAACATCAAATATTTAGGCATGAAACATAATTTAATATGAATAAAATATAAAAAAAATGGGAGAAAATAAGAATTTGTAAAATATTTTTTAGTTCTACGTCACATTTGAGACCCTATGGTAGCCCAGGAATGAGAATTACCCCCATGATGGCATACCGTTTGCAATAGTAGATAACCCAAGGTATTGCAAATGGGGTATGTCAAGTCTTATTTGGTCACAAACACTGGCCAAAGTTAGTGTTAATATTTGTTTGTGTGTGAAAAATGCAAAAAACTAATTTGAACACCAATGTTGGCCAATGTTTGTGACTAAGTGGCTACTAAAAAAGACTGCACATACCCATTTGCAATACCATGGGTTGTCTACTATTGCAAATAGTATGCCATCATGGGGGTAATTTTCATTCCTGGGCTACCATATGGTCTCAAAGGCAACGTAATCAATCTGGCGAATTTCAATGTGAAAAAACTGAAACTCTGTAACATTTGAAAACACCATAAAACCTGTACATGATGGGTACTGTTATACTCAGAGACTTTGCTGAACACAAATATTAGTGTTTCAAAACAGTAAACCGTATCACAACAATTATATCGTCCGTCCCATTAGTGTGTGAAAAATTAAAAAAAGTCACTTTCACTGACGATTTCATCGTTGTAATACATTTTACTGTTTCGAAACACTAATATTTGTATTCAATGAAGTCTTCCAAGTACAACAGTGTTACGGTTGCCTCCAGGCTGGCTGGAAGTTGGACCGTAGAAAGGATGCTCCTAGCGCTCACCAAAGGACCATCAGCACCGTAGACACCATAAGTACTGCAGACTCAATGAACCACCGCTCCTGGGCTAGGATCTCGCCGTCTGCTCTATGCCCTGGATCCATGACCAGGCTCCAGGTTCCAGTAGGCGAACCTCTTCCTTCTGTAGAGCGAAGCAGGATCAGGAACAAGAGCTCTTACAAGAGCTCAGTAGCTAAGGGAGTATGAAGAGCATAGCAATCCCTGTAGTGATTATAGCTGTCCCCTACAAACATGAGTCAAGGCTGCAAGTTAGAGGGTCAAGTCATTCTGTTTATTGGCACACAAAGAACCTTCTTTTATGCAGGTTTCCCTGAGATAGGACCACCCACAAGGTTTTACACAACAACCAATAATAAACGTACATTACAGAAACACTCCCAGCAATTACACACAAAAATCCTCCCCTCTGCCTGTGATCTAATTATGTTGCACAATGGGTTAACATAATTAAACACAGGCAGTAAAAATACAGTTTTTACCCATACCCTGTAACTTTAAAACTACACATCCAATCGTCATAACAATTACATATTTAGAATCAATCCATTCAGGGGAGCAACATATTAAAAAAATGGCACAAATCAGACAAGGGGTTCAAAAGTTAGCACAAGTATCTTTTGGGGCCTGGCTGGCAGCATGGTTATCTGGCCCAAACCAGTTTTACAGAGCCCTCTAGCCTGGAGACAATGGGGAAAATAATCCACTTATATCCAGGGATAGAGGCAGACTCCATTAACCACATGTTAGCAAAAGACACAAAAATACATAACTCCTATCATACTGAACAGAACCCCCACATTCGACCTATCCCCAGATGGCTTGGATCTGAGCGCTCAATATATCCAAACAGCGCTCAGATCCCACAAATACAGTCAAATCGCCATACACACTAGGTCCATAGTCATGGGGCAGAAGGCTGGCAATTAGGCTTCTCCATAACACAGGGAGGCAGGGCAACTTGTCAAATAAAATAACAGTTACAAATGGCAGTCTGTAACATATCTCCCCTTTTAGAGGGAGACTAACCAGGCACCTGACCTTCTGTCGGTCAGTGCCTAAGTTAGTCTCGCAACCCACCCACAAATAAACATTGGCAGAGTAGCCCCCCCACAATAAATAGTACTGGCCTGTAGGTTCCAGGTTGTAGGATGAAAATGTAGCATCCTTGGCCTTCCCGGTGCAGCTGGGCAAATAGCTGAGGGTACTTGGAGGGCAGAGGCCAACAGTGCTTTGCCATGATGCCAGCGCTTCTGCTGGGGTGAGGGGGTTGCAGGACAGTCCTGTGACAAGGGAGTTGGTAGGGCAGAGGCCAGCGGCGCTCTGTCCTGATGCCAGCTCTTCCGCTGGGATAGCCAGCATAATGTCACGCTCTGTACAAGGGTCAAAGAGAGGGCAGAGGCCAACTGCACTCTGCCCAGCTGCCAGCTCTTCTGCTGGGGGAATTGGGGCATAGTCCTGCCCGGTGGCAAACGGCACGTGGGGGTTGGTGGGGGTTGCCATCTTCCCTGTTAACCCTGGGCCCAAGTTAGGAGTTAGCTGGGGAGGGGAGAATTGGCTTACCTCCTCCTCCTGATACTCCTGCGGCCGCTGGGAAGGGAGGTCGATGCTCTCCGCTCCCTGTGGAACATGCTGTGGCTGGGGAGAGAGACCGGTTGTCTCCTCTCCCTGGAAGGCACACTCCGTCTGGGGAGGGAGGTCGATGCTCTCCTCTCCCTGTAGCTGGGTCTGCCGCTGGGGATCTGGGCTGCCTGCCCAGCATCCCTGGAGGGCCGGTAGAGAGACTGCAGTCCCATCTCCACATGCCTGCTGGTGGTCCTCCCAGGACCAGTCTATGAGGTACACTGCCTCGGGTACCTCTGGTTGTGGTTGGGGAAGGAGACCGGTTGCCTCTTCCCTCTGCACGGTGCACTGCCGCTGGGGAGGGAGGTCGCTGCTCTCCTCTCCCTGTAACTCAGGCTGCCGCTGGGGAGGGAGGTCGATGCTCTCCGCTCCCTGTAGCTCACCCAGGGGTTGGGGATCTGGGCCAACTGCCCAGCATCCCTGTAGGGCCGGTAGAGAGACCTCGGTCCCATCTCTACCTGCCATCATAGGTTCCTCCCAGTTTACCTCTACGATATCCTTCCAGCTGAAGGACTCTCGTTCTGGCTCTGCTGCTGTGCACTCTTGGGGGACCTCTGGATGCTGTTGAGGAAGGGGACGGGTTGTCTCTTCCCGGGACCCCTGGATGATGTGCTGGTACTTCCACTCCAGGTCACATTCCTGGGTGACTAGATACCGCAGGTCTTCCTCCAGGCCAATAGCTCTAGGGAGTCCCAGCTTGTCTTCCCGGTCATCATACAGGTCCCAGAAGCGTGAGTCTGTAGCCCTTCCAAAGTCATCATCGTCCATATTCTCCCAGAATAGATCAGGGCCATTGTAATCCCCACACTCAGGGAATTCATACTCAGCCATCTCTGGAACAAGCTGAGTCGCGTACCACTGTAGCGCCTGGTATGCGTTGTCGAGCCACAGTTCGCTGTATACTAGATCCTCTAGTTTAGTCACCCACGCTGGAAGGGGTTGTTTGCCCAGGAGGGGCATCTGCTCTGCCATTCGAGCCTGGATTTGCTGCCCTCTGCTGATACTACGATCACCTCGCCAACGCTGAACTTCCTGTAGGGCTTCTTCCCACAGCTCGGCTCTGGCCTCACTTCTGTACCCACACATCTCCTCTTCTGAGACTGCCCCATCTCTCCAGGATAGGAAGCCATGCAATCTGTCGAGGAACCTCTCCTCCATTTCGGCTGCTGTGCACGAACTTGCTGGCTCCATGCTGCTCTAGGTAGGGACGCTGCGCAGTGGCTAGCGTTGCCCTCAATATTCTCTCATATGATACCAGTGTTGTTGGGGTGCTGCTCCTTGTGCTAGGACGCCATCCCACCGCTGCCACCAAATGTTACGGTTGCCTCCAGGCTGGCTGGAAGTTGGACCGTAAAAAGGATGCTCCTAGCGCTCACCAAAGGACCATCAGCACCGTAGACACCATAAGTACTGCAGACTCAATGAACCACCGCTGCTGGGCTAGGATCTCGCCGTCTGCTCTATGCCCTGGATCCATGACCAGGCTCCAGGTTCCAGTAGGTGGACCTCTTCCTTCTGTAGAGCAAAGCAGGATCAGGAACAAGAGCTCTTACAAGAGCTCAGTAGCTAAGGGAGTATGAAGAGCATAGCAATCCCTGTAGTGATTATAGCTGTCCCCTACAAACATGAGTCAAGGCTGCAAGTTAGATGGTCAAGTCATTTTGTTTATTGGCACACTGAGATAGGACCACCCACAAGGTTTTACAGTTTTTACCCATACCCTGTAACTTTAAAACTACACATCCAATCGTCATAACAATTACATATTTAGAATCAATCCATTCAGGGGAGCAACATATTAAAAAATGGCAAAAATCAGACAAGGGGTTCAAAAGTTAGCACAAGTATCTTTTGGGGCCTGGCTGGCAGCATGGTTATCTGTCCCAAACCGTTTTTACAGAGCCCTCTAGCCTGGAGACAATGGGGAAAATAATCCACTTATATCCAGGGATAGAGGCAGACTCCATTAACCACATGTTAGCAAAAGACACAAAAATACATAACTCCTATCATACTGAACAGAACCCCCACATTCGACCTATCCCCAGATAGCTTGGATCTGAGCGCTCAATATATCCAAACAGCGCTCAGATCCCACAAATACAGTCAAATCGCCATACACACTAGGTCCATAGTCATGGGGCAGAAGGCTGGCAATTAGGCTTCTCCATAACACAGGGAGGCAGGGCAATTTGTCAAATAAAATAACAGTTACAAATGGCAGTCTGTAACAAACAGTACCCCCAATGTACAGGTTTTATGGTGTCTTGGAAAGTTACAGGGTTAAATATAGTGCTAGCAAATTAAATTCTCTGGACTTTCGGCCTGGGTTGTCAGACAGATCCCGCAAATTGTAATTAATAAAATGACCTAATTATGTAAAATTATTACATAATTATATACGTAGAATTATTATATATAAACGTGTGTGTGTATATATTTATATATATATATATATATATATATATGTATGTATGTAGTTTTTTCAAATTATTTTTATTTAAATAGGTATATATAAAGTGATACATACATATATACTTATGTATATAGATATATATATTATTTTGTTCTACTTCTATTTTGATATCAATATATACATATATACAATTTTAAAATACAGTTAGAATGAAATTACACATACAGTTGCAAGAAAAAGTATGTGAACCCTTTGGAATGATATGGACAAATTGGTCATAAAATGTGATCTGATCATCATCTAAGTCACAACAATAGACAATCACAGTCTGCTTAAACTAATAACACACAAATAATGAAATGTTGCCATGTTTTTTTGTTTTTGTTTTCAAATAAATGTTTTATCGTTTTAGTTAAAGTGGTTCGGGGTACAGAAAAGAAGATAGGAGGGTTAGTTAGACAAGTGTCACTCTCTACGTGACATTTATGGTTACGTAACATCGTATTACATGCATGCGTGGGATATTTGTTTCATTGTGACATTAATGGCTATGCGACATCATAATATAAATACCTGTTAAACATTGTGACATTAACGTTTATGAGACAGCACGATATAATTTCTTGTGAGACATTCAGGTAATCGTCACCTACACAATGGATTGTCAAAGGTGTGAGAGAGCATTAGTTGTCTTATAGCTCCTCCCGTCTTCTTAAGGTTCTGGGTTGCATGAGCCTGGTTAGGAGTCAAGAACCGAGGAGGGGAGCCAAAAGCAGCGAGGGGCTGTGGGTGGGTTGGTGGGGGGTTAGGGAAGGGGCGAGGTACATGAGTAATACCTATGGTCGTTTGGTTGGTGTCCTGACCTGGGGTCAGTGTTATGGTGGGGGGGAGAGGGTAAACCGGGGTATTTTCCTAGTCAGTGCTCTTGGCAGTGTTTGCCATTGTTTGTGCCCTTTCTTTTGTTCGTCCAAACTCTTTTTCCCATTTTCCCCAGTAGCCTCAAATTGTATTATTTTTTTTGTGGATTTAATTGCCATTCTCTCATATATATCTAATTGCTCTACTCTTTCAGCTGTGGCAAAGAGGGTCAGTCTTGGGATTTCCAATTAAGTGCTAGGAGATTTCTTGATGCCAGTAAGACTAGCGTTATGATTTGTTTTTGGCCTGGGTTTAGTCCTGCTGGGAGCAGTAGCAGTAGGCAGATGGATGCCGTCAGTCAAATTTTACATATCTAGTGTGTCTAAGATTGACCTTGTTGTAGTCCAGAGAGGTTTAATGTCTCTACAGGACCACCACAGGTGTAGTAGTGTGCCCAAGGCTGATTTACATCTCCAGCACAACGGGCTCGTCATGGGAAATAACTGGTGAAGTCTTTGTGGGGTCATGTACCACCGGTACATGAGTTTCCTGTGGGCTTCTATGTGTGAGAAGCACTTTGTCCATTTGGACAACCCGTTTAGTGCGTGGAGCCACTCTGTGTCTGATAGGGCTATGTCACAGTCCTTTTCCCATTGGGCTTTGTGCAGATGTGGTTTTGTTGGCGTGAGTTCTTGCCATGTTTTATAACACATTGTTAGTGTTTTAGGTTTGTTAGGTGCGGACCAACATCTGTCAATGAGCAACTGTGAGGTAACCTGTGGTGGGCCCTTTGAGTTGTGTGTGGGTATCGCGTGTGCTTGTAGTACACTTTTTATCTGTAGGTAGGAAAAGATGGCTTGGCTTGGGAGTTGCCACTGTGCCTGTAGTGTTGGGAAGGGAGTTACTTCCCCTTCAGTCATCAGTTGGGTTATGTGTTTGATCCCTGCTTTGTGTCAGTCTTGGAGTGGTATGTCTGCTACGGTTGCCCTAAGGGTCGAGATGGGCGATTTAGGGTGGAAGGAGATGTTGTAACCTATGGTTCCCATAAATTCATCCCACACCGCTATCGTGAGCTGGGTGGTTGGGAAGAGATCCTGTTGTTTCAATCTTAAGTGCTTGGGTGTCTAGAGGTATTCAAGTAGGGCTTGATTACGGAATTGTGCCCTATCCATGTCTACCCATTGGGTCGTGTTAGGTGGTGCATGTAGGAGGATACCTGAGGACAGAATAGCTGCCCTATAGTACTGTTTGAGATTTGGGAGGCCAACACCTCCCGAGCGGGTGGCAGTCTGAAGGAGTGCCATAGACATCCTGGGTTTCTTGCCCCCTCAAATAAATGCACTGCATAGTTTTTGTAATGTTTTGCAGTATTGGTTGGTAATTCTGAGGGGAAGCATCCTAAAGACATAGAGAATACGGGGCAGGATCATCATCTTGTAGGCATTAATCCTCCCCAGCCAGGAGATCATTGTATGTTTCCATTTGTGCATTTCTGTTTTGCAGAGCGTCAGCAGTGGTGTATAATTTAATGTTAGCGTGGCCGAAGTGGAGGGTGCAACTTTTATCCCTAAATATGTAATGGAGGTGGTCCTCCAATCGAATTTGTATGTGGTACGGAGGGAGTCTGCTAGGGTTTTCGGCAGGTTGATGGGTAGGACTTGGGTTTTGTCTTGATTCAGTTTATAGTAGGAGACTCTTCCGAATTGTCGTATGAGTTCCAGCATATGGGGTAGGGAGCGGGTGGGGTCTGTCAATGCCACGAAGATGTCATCAGCAAAGAGGGCAGGCTGTACATCTTGTCTCGTATAGGAATCCCCTGTATGTCGGAGTGTGATCTGATTTTACATGCTAGGGGTTCCAGGGCCAGTATGTACAGAAGGGGGGAAAGGGGGCATCCCTGTCGGGTACCATTTGTGATGGAGAAGAGGTTGGACAGGAAGCCTCCATGAGAGACCTTGGCTGCTGGTTTGTGGTATAGTGCCATTATACTTTTAATTGTAGAATCAGGAAAATTAAATTTGTGCAGAGTTTTAGCCATGTACTCCCAGTTTAGTCGGTCGAAGGCCTTCTCCGCGTCAAGTTCGAGGAAGAGGCCCTTCGAACCACCAGTGTCAAGTGTTGACAACATGTTCAGAATTTTCCTGGTGTTGTCAGAGCCCTGACGGCCTTTTATGAACCCCAACTGGTCATTGTGTACCAGTTTGTGGAGGAGAGGGGCCAGCCGGTTGCTGATGAGTTTAGCATAGATTTTGGCGTCTCCGTTAAGTAGGGAGATGGGCCTGAAATTTTGACACTGGGTGGGGGGTTTGCCAGGTTTAGGGAGGGTGGATATATGGGCCAGCAGCATCTCATCTGGTAATGCGCCTGCAGTAGCACAGTTGTTTAGAAGATTTAGGAGGTGTGGCGTGAGGATGTGTGATAATTTCTGGTAATATGCATTCGTAAAGCCATCGGGGCCTGGGGATTTGTGGGCTGGGAGTTGCGATATTACAGCTGTGAGCTCGTCTAGGGAGAATGGTTGTTGTAGCAGGTCTAGGTCATCGTTTGTTAGTGTCGGTAAGTCAAGGCCTGTCAAGAAAACCGTCAATGTCATCATGGGTAGGTAAGAACATGTTGGGGTCAGTTTTGAGATTATACAATTCACCATAATATTTCGCAAACAGATCTACAATACTTTGTGAGTTCAAAGTCTTCTTTCCCTTATTATCTACTAGGAAGGCAATCCTGGAGGCGACACATCTCTCCTTTAATTGTGACGCTAATTTGGCGCCTGCTCTATTTCCGCTGGCAAAGAAGTTATGTTTAGCTTTGCATAACAGATATGTTGTTTTGGCTAATTCCATGTTTTTCAATTGGTTTTGGAGGGCTAGTAGTTTTTTGCAGGTGGTCCTGCTTGGGTCTTGTTTGTTGGAGTGTGTCAGCGTAGTGATTTCTGCTACCAGCGAGTTATAGTTTGCTAACCTAATTTTTTTGGCTCTACTGGCATGTTTTATAAGACTACCCCATATGACCGCCTTATGTGCTAGCCAGATCTGTTCTATGGATGAGTCATGTACCGTGTTTACAGTGAAATAGTGTTGGAGGTCTGTAGTGATCTGTGCCACTATGGAGGGATCTGTTAACAGGGATTCGTTTAGCCTCCAAGTGCCTGTCCCTTTATTGGGGAATGTTTCTTTCTGACATATGCATGGTCAGACCATGACATTGTTCCAATAGTAGCTTCTTCTATGTTAGGCATGAAGGTGACGGGGATAAGAAAGCGGTCTATACGGGAGTAGCTATTGTGTGCCACTGTATGGCATGTGTAGTCCACCTCCGTGGGGTGGAGGATATGCCATGGGCCCACCAAGTGGTTAGAGGCTAGTGTGGCATTTTGGCTGCTAGAGCTGCTCTTTGCCGTAAGGTGCTTCGTGAGTGCCCCGCAGCAGTGGACGAGTCAGACTCGCTATCTAGTAAGAAGTTCGTGTCGCCTCCAATAATTACCTCCCCATATTTATACATTTCAAGTAAGGCCAGGGTCGAGGTTAAGAATTCATGTTGGTTCTCATTAGGTCTGTAAATATTGACTAACGTGTATGGGTTATTATTAAGAAGGCATTGCAAAATCAGGTAGCGCCCTTTTCTATCATTTATCTTGCGAACCAGAGAAAATGCTACATCCTTACTTATTAAGATGGAAACACCCCTTTGTTTGGCTGTATAGCAGGTGTGAAAGTTGTGGGGGAACCATTTGGAGGTAAATTTAGGTCTATCTTTCCACCTGAAGTGCGTCTCCTCGAAGAACGCCACTAGGGCACCACTTTTCCTAGCCTCCTGTGTGGCCAACCTGCGTTTGTTCGGGGAGTTGATCCCTTTCGTGTTTAGGGACATAATTTTAATCACCATAATGTATTTGTATGGTTCGCTGTACTCTTAAATATGAAGGACCCAGAGTTTCGTTGTAAGTTGGGTACGGTACAATTCGTGGGTATACTCACAAGGGATGGGGGGGGAGCAACAGGGCAATAACTATATACAGTATTCCGTGTGTCACCACGTGGGGACATTGGGTTGCGTAGGGCAACGGACAAGTATAGCTCCTAAGAGCCTTAAGAGCCTTGGGGGTGGCCCACTTGGGGCAAATTGTCACGTGACAGGGGTCAAGTCCTGGGGAAAAAAGTGTGGGAACTCACCCAAGATTCCCGCCTCCCCCCCCCCTTAAAAAAATAAAATTAAAAAAAATTACACTCCTATGCATATAGTGCAGTGCAGGGTGTGTATAATGAATGTAGTGTGTTTGTAGTGAATGCAGAGTATGAATAATAAATGTAGTGTGTTTGTAGTGAGTGCAGTGTGAATAATAATTGTAGTGTATTTGTAGTGAGTGCAGTGTGTGTATAATGAATGTAATGTGTTTGTAGTTAAAGGACCACTATAGTGCCAGGAAAACATACTCGTTTTCCTGGCACTATAGTGCCCTGAGGGTGCCCCCACCCTCAGGGTCCCCCTCCCGCCCGGCTCTGGAAAGGGGAAAGGGTTAAAAACTTACCTTTTTCCAGCGCTGGGCGGGGAGCTCTCTGCCTCCGTTCCTCCTCCTGGGCTGAATGCGCACGCGCGGCAAGAGCTGCGCGCGCATTCAGCCCGTCGCATAGGAAAGCATTTGCAATGCTTTCCTATGGACGCTGGCGTGCTCTCACTGTGAAAATCACAGTGAGAAGCACGCAAGCGCCTCTAGTGGCTGTCAATGAGACAGCCACTAGAGGATTAGGGGGAAGGCTTAACCCATTCATAAACATAGCAGTTTCTCTGAAACTGCTATATTTATAAAAAAATGGGTTAACCCTAGAAGGACCTGGCACCCAGACCACTTCATTAAGCTGAAGTGGTCTGGGTGCCTAGAGTGGTCCTTTAAGTGCAAATTGTGTATAATGAATTTAGTGTGTTTGTAGTGAGTGCAGAGTGTGTACAATGAATGCAGTGTATGTAGTGTGTTTGTAGTGAGTGCAGAGTGTGTACAATGAATGCAGTGTATGTAGTGTGTTTGTAGTGAATGTAGTGTGTAGTGAGTGCAGAATGTGTATAATGAATGCAGTGTGTATAGTGAATGCAGAGGGTGTATAGTGAATGCAGTGTGTTTGTAGTGAGTGTATAGTGAATGTAGTGTGTTTGTAGTGAGTGAAGAGTGTGTATAATGAATGCAGTGTGTGTGAGTGCAGGATGATGTGTGTGTGAGTGCAGGATGATGTGTGTGTGAGTGCAGGATGATGTGTGTGTGTACATGATGTGTGTGTGTGAGTGCTGGATGATGTGTGTGAGTGTGGTGTGTGTGGTGTGGATGATGTGTGTATGTGTGTGGTGTGTGCTGGATGATGTGTGTGTGAGTGCGCTGGATGATGTGTGTGTGTGTGCTGGATGATGTGTGTGTGTGTGAGTGCTGGATGATGTGATGATGTGAGTGCTGGATGATGTGTGTGTGTGCTGGATGATGGGTGTGTGAGTGCTGGATGATGTGCGTGTGAGTGCTGGATGATGTGTGTGTGAGTGCTGGATGATGTGTGTGTGAGTGCTGGATGTTGTGTGTGTGAGTGCTGGATGATGGGTGTTTGTGTGAGTGGTGGATGATGGGTGTGTGAGTGGTGGATGATGGGTGTGTGAGTGATGGCTGATGTGTGTGTGAGTGATGGCTGATGTGTGTGTGAGTGATGGATGATGTGTGTGTGAGTGCTGGATGATGTGTGTGTGTGCTGGATGATGGGTGTGTGTGTGCTGGATGATGGGTGTGTGAGTGCTGGATGATGGGTGTGTGTGCTGGATGATGGGTGTGTGTGCTGGATGATGGGTGTGTGAGTGCTATGATGGGTGTGAGTGCTGGATGATGGGTGTGTGAGTGCTGGATGATGGGTGTGTGAGTGCTGGATGATGGGTGTGTGTGTGCTGGATGATGTGTGTGGATGATGTGTGCTGGATGTGTGAGTGCTGGATGATGGTGTGAGTGCTGGATGATGGTGTGTGTGAGTGCTGGATGATGGATGTGTGTGTGTGTGCTGGATGATGTGTGTGTGAGTGCTGGATGATGTGTGTGTGAGTGCTGGATGATGGGTGTGTGTGTGCTGGATGATGGGTGTATGAGTGCTGGATGATGGGTGTGTGAGTGCTGGATGATGGGTGTGTGTGTGAGTGCTGGATGATGGGTGTGTGTGTGAGTGCTGGATGATGTGTGGGGGGGGGGGAGCATTTTTTTTTAAACTTTATGTGTATGTATATTTGTTTATTTTATTCCCCCCTCCCTGCTTCTTACCTTGTCAGGGAGGGGGGAGATAGCCTGGTGGTCCGGTGGAGGGAGCCAGCCGCTCGCTGCACAGAGGGGCCATCACACGCTGTGTTCCCTCTCCAGCTCTAACTCTCGCGAGACTCGCCTGTGCGGAGCGTTGCCATGGTAACAGCCGCGGGTCTCGCGAGATTTATAGCTGGAGAGGGAACACAGCGTGTGCTGGCCCCTCTGTGCAGGTAGCAGGGCCGGTCCTGCAGGACAGGTAACGGGAACGGCGTTCCTGCTTTGGAAAAAGTGCAGGAACGCCGTTCCCATGCGTTCCTGCAGGACTCGAGCCCTGGTATGTGATCTATAACAGTGCTGGGTTCAAACAAAGCGAGTCCGGGTGGTACTCCACCCGGTCGCGGCCTGGGTTAGGGGCTTTTAAACGACAATACGAGAATAGATTACAAGGGGACAAGTAATTTAAGTAGAACTATAGAACCTGTACTTCCAGTCCATTCGGTTTTCACCGATCTTGCTATGATCTGGTAGTTCCTTCATGTTGGAGAGGTTCTGCGGTCTGTGGGTGTGCGCTGAGTTTTCGTTGTTCGTTCCGAATCTTTGGTGAGAGGTTTTGGTGCCGTTGTCTGTAGTGGTCCTTTAGGACTGCTGGCCTGCAACGGAATATTCCATTCCTGGAGGATCCTCTTTCCATCGTCTGGGCTAAGTATTGGTTTGTCCACACTATTCCGTTTGATTAATAACTTTGTTGGGGAACCCCACTTGTAGGGTACATTTGCCGCTCGTAGTGCTGCAGTGATGGGCGCAAATGTGCGACGTGCAAGCATGGTTGTTGATGAGAGGTCTATGAAAAGTTTAATGTCAGTGTAGGATTCCGGCCAATGACCTGCCATTCTGGCAGCTTGCATGATGCGGTTCTTGATTGGGTTGTAGTGGACCCTTGTGATGGTGTCTCTTGTTGTGTCAGATGGGAGATGTTTGGGTTTGGGGAGATGGTGTGTCCTTTCCAGGATCAATTCTGTATCCGTCAGCGAGGGGATAAGCATCTTAAATAGATCTTGCACATAACAGGTTAATCCTGTCTGTGTAACAGATTCTGGGATACCTCTTATGCGTATGTTATTCCTTCGGCTTCTGTCCTCTTGATCTGCAACTTTCCCTTCTAGTGCTTTTATTTTTTGTGTTAGGGATGCGTAGGCCTCTGCCATGGAGTTGTGTGCATCAATTAATTCCTCTGTGCGCTCTTCCAGGCGCGCAGTGCGTTCCCCTATGCTGTTGATGTCTGACCTGATGTCTGCTGCCATTTGCTGCAGGTCTGCTTTGAATGATGCTTTTAGTTCTTGCATGATTGATCTTATAAAGGAGTTTGTCGCCGGGCTGTCCTGGCTGTGTCTACTATCCCCTGCTTCAGAGTCGCATGTTGGGGATTTGGGCCTATCGGCGCCATCTTGCTCACCATGCTCCATAACTTGATTCCTCTACAGGTGGGCATGCATAGTTTTTGTTTCATTTTTTTTTGCGGTTTCGTCACCATCGGGTGGGAGATTAGTTCCCCTTATTATTGCTATGTTTGGCCGGTATTTCGTCGGTTACTCCACGCTGTGGTAGCTGCGGTACCGGAGGAGCTCCGGTCTCACACGTCCGCTCACATGCGCGGTCAGGACACGCCCCCCTGTTGCCATGTTTTTATTGAACACACCATGTAAACATTCACAGTGCAGGTGGAAAAAGTATGTGAACCCTTGGATTTAATAACTGGTTGAACCTTCTTTGGCAGTAATAACTTCAACCAAATGTTTCCTGTAGTTGCAGATCAGACGTGCACAACGGTCAGGAGTAATTCTTGACCATTCCTCTTTACAGAACTGTTTCAGTTCAGCAATATTCTTGGGATGTCTGGTGTGAATCGCTTTCTTGAGATCATGCCACAGCCAGTGGCGTACACATGACCCATGGGGCCCCGGTGCAATTATTGATCCGTGGGCCCCCCCCCCCTGCGCGCGGGCCGGGTCGCAACACATGGCGGTGGGCACCTGGTCGCAGGGGTTACAGGGCTGCGACCCCTGCGACCGCGGTATGTATGCCAGTGCATGCAGATGCACACACACTTAAAGGACCACTACAGACACCCAGATCACATCAGCTCAATGAAGTTGTCTGGGTGTCAGGTCCCTCTAGTTTTAACCCTGCAGCTGAAAACATAGCAGTTTCAGAGAAACTGCTATGTTTCACTGAGGGTTAATCCAGCCTCTAGTGGCTGTCTCACTGACAACCGCTACAGGAGCACACTGAACGTCCATAGTAAAGCATTGAGTAATGCTTTCCCATGGGCGGTTTGAATGCGTGCGCGGTCGCATTCGGAGCTGAGGGATACCCAGCGCCAAGGGAGTCCGGCGCTGGAGAAAGGTAAGTGCTGAAGACACACACACTCTCACTTACAGACGCATACACACTAGCTAACAGACACACACATTTACTGACAGAGACACACTCACTTACAAAACATACAAAACATACACTCATTGACAAACACACATTCACTAACAGACATCAAACAGACTCACTAACACACACACACACACAGTAACACACTCACACAAACACTCACACTAACACTCACACTAACACTCACTCTAACACTCACACTAACACTCTCACACACACACTCTAACACTCACACTAACACTCACACTAACACTCACACTAACACTCACTCTAACACTAACACTCACACATGTTGTGTTTTTTTAAATGTAATCCCCCCAGCCGCCTTACCTTTCAGAGTGCTGGGGGGATTCCCTGGGCTGGCTGGCTGGCGGGCTGTCTGGCTGGCGCGCGAGGGAGCTTCCTCTTCAGCTCCCTCGCGCGCCGCGTAGGGATGACGGCGCCGGAAGATGACGTCATCTTCCAGCTCCGGTATCAGTGCGGTGCGTGAGGGAGCTGAAGAGGAAGCACTGAGTGCTCCCTCGCGCGCCCGCCTGCCCGACCGGCCACCCGCCTTCCGGGTGACACCAAGGCCAGCCTCGGGGGGTCCTGGGGTGGTCGGCTCCTGGGCCCCCCAGGAGAAGAGGCTGGCCCAGTGGGTACACACCGGGTCGCAGGGGCGGCCGGGCCCCCTGGTGGGCCGGGCCCGGTTGCAGCCGCGACCCCTGCGATCCTGGTATGTACGCCACTGGCCACAACATCTCAATCAGGTTAAGGTCAGGACTCTGACTGGGCCACTTCAGAAGGCGTATTTTCTTCTGTTTAAGCCATTTTGTTGTTGATTTATTTCTATGCTTTAGGTCATTGTCCTGTTGCAACACCCATCTTCTGTTGAGCTTCAGCTGGTAGACAGATGGCCTTAAGTTCTCTTGCAAAATGTCTTGATAAACTTGGGAATTCATTTTTCCTTCGATGATAGCAATCCGTCCAGGTCCTAACGCAGCAAAGCAGCCCCAAACCATGATGCTCCCACCACCATACTTCACAGTTGGGATGAGGTTTTGATGTTGGTGTGCTGTGCCTCTTTTTCGCCACACATAGTGTTGTGTGTTTTTTCTTCCAAACAACTCAACTTTGGTTTCATCTGTCCACAGAATATTTTGCCAGTACTGCTGTGGAACATCCAGGTGCTCATTTGCAAACTGTGAACATGCAGCAATGTTTTGTTTGGACAGCAGTGACTTCCTCTGTGGTATCCTCCCATGAAATACATTCTTGTTTAGTGTTTTACGTATTGTAGATTCGCTAACAGGGATGTTAGCATTTACCAGTGACTTTTGTAAGTCTTTAGCTGACACTCTAGGATTCTTCTTCACCTCATTGAGCAGTCTGCGCTGTGCTCTTGCAGTCATCTTTACAGGACGGCCACTCCTAAGGAGAGTAGCAGCAGTGCTGAACTTTCTCCATTTATAGACAATTTGTCTTACCGTGGACTGATGAACAGCAAGGCATTTGGAGATACTTTTATAACCCTTTCCAGCTTTATACAAGTCAACAATTCTTAATTGTAGGTCTTCTGAGAGCTCTTTTGTGTGAGGCATCATTCATATCAGGCAATACTTCTTGTGAAATGCAAACCCAGAACTGGTATGTGTTTTTTATAGGGCAGGGCAGCTGTAACCAACACCTCCAATCTCATCTTATTGATTAGACTCCAGTTGGCTGACATCTCACTCCAATTAGCTCTTGGAGATGTCATTAGTCTAGGGGTTCACATTCTTTTTCCACCTGTACTGTGAATGTTTACATGGTGTGTTCAATAAAAACATGGCAACATTTCATTCTTTGTGTGTTATTAGTTTAAGCAGACTGTGATTGTCTATTGTTGTGACTTAGATGATGATCAGATCACATTTTATGACCAATTTGTGCAGAAATCCATATCATTGCAAAGGGTTCACATACTTTTTCTTGAAACTGTATATATATATACATATATATATATATTATTTTTTAATTTATTTTTTATTATTTTTTTAATTTTATTTTTTAACGTATTTACATATATATTTATTGTATATTATATATAAATATATATAATTATAATGATATATATTTAATCAATATAATTCTGTGTATTTTGATATTAATAAATATATATAATTATATATATTATATATAATATATATAATTATATATAATTGTATATATTAATATTAAAATACACTTAAACAGTGTATGTGTATTTATGTATCTCCATCTTTCACTATTAGCTTTTATTTTAATAACATGTTCATCATTTGTTAATTTAAATCTTTATTCATTTCTACCTTCACTTTACTTTATTATATTAATATTCAATTTCTATCTCTAACACTACTTATCACTCACCCATGCACCCAGACAAACACAGAAAAAATTCCTCTTTCTCCTTTTCTTTTGTTGTTCCCCTACCTCATTTTACTTTCCCTTTTTACATTTTAAACTGTTTTAAACTTTTATTATTTTTTTTACAGGCAGCAGAGGGAGTACCTGTCATTACAGGAACTACCCCTGCTAGCATTGCTGTGGATGGCTATGCCGTCCATGTGATCGTGAGGTCCTTGCAAGGACCTCGCGATCACATGGCCCAGGAGGGCCGGATTGTCATACGGGGGACTCCCTGGGATGCCAGGTAAGTCCCCCCACCGCGATCGCCGGCGTGGGATCACCGGCGACCGGGTAAGTAAACAGGACAGCGGGGACGTGCTATGCTGCCCCCGGCGTTTAGAGCCAGGTCCCCAAGGACGGCATAGCACGCCTGCCGTCCATAAGGGGTAATTCTGTAATAGGTTTCAGCACTGTAGGCTCCTCCCCCCCTTTCTTTAGAACAGCTAGGCATGTCAAAAAATGGGACATATTTAAAATCTGTCTTCTTTCAACAGATTTTGCACAGGACTAGTCCTCTTTAAGAAAGAACTTAAGAGGCCTACCATTGAAATGCAATTTGGGTAGCAGAGTCAACTGCCTCAAGAAGAGGTATGCTCTTGGCTTTTCTATTCAAGGGTCATCATTGGCTCATAGCACCAGGGGGACAAGTTTACAGTGTCCACAGCTAAGACAAGCAAGAGGTCATCTTGACAGTAGCACAGCAACAACACCTACTTGCCCCTGGTTATAATGTTGTCTTTGTTTTCTCTCCCTTAATAGCCCCAGTGTCTGCCTGAGGTCGGATTAAGCAAAATAATTAACAAATGATAATTATAGTACTGTGTTGCCTGTCAATAATAATTTCAAAATTGCATAGAGTACATTCAGCTGACCAATGAACACTAGGAACCTGTGTCCTTTTAGGATGCCAAATCTCCCTGCGTCATTTCCAAAATATGCCTGCCTGCCTCTTCCCTGTCAGTATTGCCTGTGTACCATTTGGTGTCTGAGGAATGATGCAGGCCAATTAAAGAATTCCCAACGCTATATAAGCACTCCCTCTTGTCCTCACCTTTGTCCTGTTGTGTTTTCCCTCGTGGTGAATCCAACAATGCATTTATATTCCTGTATCTGATTCCTGTTTTTTGACATTTGGCTTGTATTTGACTATCCTTTCTGTAATACCTGTCCTTGGCTCATATACTCGAAATTGTTGTATTTTACTGTCCCAGACCTTGGTTTGCTCTTGACCATTTTACCTTTTCTATTAGTGTTAAGCCACTCAAAGGTCTGGTAATGCGTCTATATTCATTCTTTGTTTTTCGTTTATCTTGGTTCTGTGTCTAGGACCTGATGGTATTGTGACATTATGACAGGGCCATGGACCCTGCAAGCAGTGGCATACACACAATCCATGGGGCCCCGGTGAGAAAATTGATCTGTGGGCCCCCCCTCTGCCCGGTGCTTACTCTGCACGGGCCTGGGCCGCTACACATGGCGGCGGGCACCTGGTCGCAGGGCTGTGACCCCTGTGACCGCGGTATGCATACCAGTGCATGCAGATACACATACACTTAAAGGACCACTATAGGCATTCAGATGCCAGGTCTCTCTAGTTTTAACCCTGCAGCTGAAAACATAGCAGTTTTAGAGAAACTGCTATGTTTCACTGAGGGTTAATCCAGCCTCTAGAAGCTGTCTCACTGACAGCTGCTACAGGCGCTTCCACTTGAAGTAATGCTTTCCTATGGGCGGTTTGAATGTGCGCGCGGCTCTTGCCGCGCATGCGTATTCGGAGCTGAGAGGGGTTGAGAGATCCCCAGCACCAAGGGAGCCCGGCGCTGGAGAAAGGTAAGTGCTGAAGGGGTTTTAACCACACACACACACTTTCACGAACAGACGCATACACACTAGCTAACAGACACACACATTTACTGACAGACACATACTCAGTGACAGACACACATACACACTCACTTACAAAACATACACTCTCACTGACAAACACACACTCACTAACAGACACCCACTAACCGACACACACTCAATAACAGACACACACAAACTAACTAACACACAGTAACACTCACTAACACACTTACTGACACTCACTAGCAGACACACACAAACTAACACACTCACACACATACACACTCACTTTTTTTTATTTATTTAATCCCCCAGCCTCCCTACCTTTTGGGGTGCTGAGAGGATTCCTGCTTTCCCTGGGGTCCTGCAGACGGCGAGGTAGCACTGAACGCTCTCTGCCCAGCTCTCGCGTGGCAGTTACTGATGCTGGAGCCGGAATTACTTCATATTCCGGCTCCAGCACCAGTGCGGTGTGCGTGAGGGAGCTGGGCAGAGAGCGCTCATGGGAGAATGCTCCCTCGCACGCGCGCCATGTAACGCCACTGCCAGCCTCAAGGGGGCCCTGAGGTGGCCTGCTCCTGAGCCCCCCAGGAGAAGAAGCTGGCAAAATGTGGCCACACTGGTGTACATACCAGGTCACAGGCGGTATTTATGCCAGTGCCTGCAGGCTTAGGTCAGCAGATAGCCTCATGTGAGATTAAGGTAGAGGAACTAGATCATAGTATGGATCAATTCAGGCTCTGCAGACATTGCTTGCCAGAATCACATGTCTGCAGACAGACTGATGTTGCTGGAGCCTCCCTTGTACAACCTGTAGTGTAGGGTCCCTCTGTTCACCTCACTCCTCCACAAAGGTATGGAGTCGATCCTCTTGAATTCAGAGGATTTTTGAATCAAGTGAACATGTCCTTCAGAATGTCCCCTGGATTCATTCAATCAGATAGAGCCAAGATTGAGTATATTAGGAATTTGAGTTAAGAATGGCCACTCTAAGGTCTGAAAATATGCATCGATTTGTTCACCATTTATTTTGGTGTGGTCAAAGCTCCGTGTGCAGAGCTGGTTGGTGTTTTGATACCCTGACTGTGTGGGATAGTTATGGGTATTTCTGTTTTTTTTTTAAATTCTTTATTTTTCTTGTGCATGTATAGACAGTTAACATTTTCTTGCGGTGCCACAACAGCATTGGCAAGCTAATTAGAGAAAATTGGTTTGACATGGCATGCGATTTGACAGCACATTTTCTAATAATATTAGGCTAAAGCTGGAAAAGTTGTGTCACAAGATGAGGTACAATTTTAAACTAGAAAAAACATCAGCATTGAGTGAGTATGATTGGTATGTGAGGTACAGTTCTCAATGCAATATAATTAAATGAAAGGTAAACTATTAAGCATAGGTTAGAACACATAAGGTTGGGGCTGGTTAGGGGCTGTCCCCTGTGTGTAGTGTTACCTAGAGGGTCTGATGCTAGGTGTCCTCCGGACCCCTTCTTTGCATTTCGACGTTTATTCCCAGGGTTAGGTTAGGTGTCTGTTTATGCAGGTCTGTGTGCCTGGGTAGATAAGTGTTTCTCCACGGTGAGCGGGCAGCTTAGATAGGTAAGAGCCCTAGATTAAGCTTTCGTTTAAGTGAGTTCGCCTGCGCTATTATGGGTGTCCCCTCCACCTGTGCCAGCGCTGGTCGCCCTGTTAGTGTGGGTGAAGCATCCGTCAGGTTAAATCATTCTTAATATAAAAATAAAAAACATAAGTTAGCTTGCTATCCAGCTCGTCGGGTGCAGCGTGTGTCTTATGTACGTTACTGACCTAATGCTCTTTAGTTATAAAGGGTCTGAGGTGAGGGGGCTCTACTGCTGGGGGTAAGGAGGGTCATGACAGTGTGAGGGCTATACCTGTTAATAGGCATCTAGTGCCCAGCTTAATATGTCGTAAGAAATCTGTCCAAACGAGGAACATAAAATGTAAAACAGTAACGAGAGGCAATTAAGGAATCATCCCAATCATGATCAGTCCCGGTCAGAGAGCCGATCTGCTGTGGGTCTTCGTGGGGTGAATGGAGTGACCCTGCTTGGGTCTCAGTTGTGCGAGTGTCTGTTTGTGGGTTGCGGCTGTGGCTGTGTTAGATAGTCCTGTGGGAGTCCTTAGGAGTGCGGCTGCATCTCGCAGGTCCTGGAGAGGGTAAGTAGTCTCTCCATGTGTCACTTGGAGCGTGCGGAGCAAGCGCCAGCGGTATCCAATGTTGCGCTGTTGGAGTAATAAGGTGAGGAGCTTGAGTGACCGCCGCCAGGCCATTGTGCTGCCTGATAGGTCACTGTAGAATTCTAAGGCCATATTTTCGAAGCATTGGTTTGGTTTACCCCTGAGTGCCTTCAGGACTCCCCTCTTGTCTGCTCCGTTCCGGAATTGAATGATCAGGTCACTTGATGCGGTTGCTGGGGCCGGTTTAGGGACACGAAAAAGTCCGTCCAGGACGTTGCTTTGGCCTGTTTGGTGGCAGAAAGTCTCCCATCATTCTCCTTTTTAAGTCTGATTCTCCTTTTTAGGCCTGATTCTGCGGTTGGAGGTCCTGTACCACCTGCTCCAGCGCCTGTATCAGCTGGGAGTCCTGGTGAGCAGTTAATTCTATTGTTCCGATGCAGTCTGTCAGGCCCTGCAGACACCCTCGTATTGTGGCAATGTCAGCTTGTAGGGTGGTTTGTAGTTCCGCAAGGAGCCCCTTCAGGACCGAGATTGTGACTGGGAATGTGTCCAGTTCTGTCTGTTTTGGCAGGGTTTTTGCCGGTGTGTGCAAGAAAGTCACATCCTCCTCTGAGGCCAGGTCATCCGAGAGATCGGAACAGCTGCCTGACAATGCGGCCATCTTGGGCCCGCACGTGCCATGTGCCTGGCGCCATAATTCTGCGTATTTCTGTTTTATGCTCAGCTTTGTGTGTTGTATCTCTGTATGGTTATCTCTGTAGTCTACCCAACTCTGTGTATTTTATGGGTATCTTTGTGTTGTGCCCAGCTCTGTGTTTCATATCTTCATATTATACTCAGCTCCATTTATTATATTAGTATCTCCTTATTATACTAGTTTTTTTGTATTGTACTGCATATGGTGTAGGTATCTATAAATTGCATGGTCACAAATTCTGCCATTGTTCTGCTGACTGGACACCCTCTTGATACACCTATGGTCTCCTGGGCATCCTCTGTACTTTCTGATATCAGTCTGGCCATAAAAACTGCTACGGCTCTGCCTCCTTGTATTGCTCATGTAATATCTGCAAATCACATGTTTCTAGCATGATGATGCCATCGGCTCAACACAGCATATCTGCATTCCCACTGTAGAATTATGATGCAGGCCAACTGGAGAGTTTCTGTTTCTCTTGATTTGTTTGTTGATTATGTTGTGGTGTCCATTTTGGTTATCGGAGAACGTGCTGTTTATACATTTGATTTCTGGCTTATTGATCACTGCTTGTCTCTGTAGGTTAAGATCTTTCTGAATTCTGTTTTCCTGACCATTGTTTTTTTTATTTTTTTTATTCTGTGTACCTCTATAATCCTTGACTTTTGGCTTGTATCTTGACATTGCTCATTCTCTGTATTTTGTATGTTAAGCCTTGACACTCTAAGGTTTGGTAATAATTATTTGTCTATTTTCCTTGTCCCGTGTGACTATTCTGCTTGTTGGGTGATGTCCTTTCCAGACCTCACTTTGAGTGATGGATGGACATCTCTGTATTATACCTAGCTCTGAGTATTGTATGGGTAACCTTGTAATGTATTGGGTTCTGTATATAATATGTGGACTACAATTAGGGGTTTAGTGCATGTGGTCAGATTCCACAGATCATAAGATGGAGGCTACAAAGTTAAGGTGGAATTCATATCCTGTGTGATGAATCTGGCACCTCATTATCATAAAGCTTCGCCAGCCGTCACTTCTGGTAATTTAGTTAAGTCAGTCTTAAAATGTGACATCTGTATTTGCTGCTGGATGATGTACTATAGCCTCTGTGTTTATTAATTTGTAATGCAAAAATATAATTAAATATCTCTCTTCAGTTAATCTCTTCACAAAGTAATATTAAGTATTATTTGATCAGATAAGCTGTCCTTTGATGCAGGTAATCCAGAAATAGTTTTCACTCATGAATCCTGACATCATGCTCCAGACATCTTAGAAATGCACCCTGGGGCCATTTCAGACCTTGAAATTGTGAATGGTCTTACTGAACAAGTGGCCCTTATTTATTTATTTATAAAATATTTTACCAGGAAAGATACATTGAGATTTCTCTCATTTTCAAGTATGTCCTGGGTCCACAAATCATTGCATTGTTACAATAAGGGTACAATAAAATTCAAAAACAATATTAATACACAATAAATACAAAATTTAACATAGAACAGGCAGGAAATATATAATCAACCATGACAGGTGCATTCTGTTTTGAGGTATGTAGAGAGGGATCTCTTAAAGGACTTTAGGCTTAGGGAAGATTTTAAATTGTGCGGGAGGTCGTTCCACAATTGCAGTGCTCTGTAGGAGAAGGAGGATCGGGCTGCTTACTTTTTGTATTGAGGTAGACTAAGTAAAGTGTTGGTACTGGATCGGAGGTTATAGGAAGTGGGAATAGCTGAGGAAAACATTGTGTTCAGGTAGGGTGGGAGTTTCCCAGAAAAGCTCTTAAACACAAGGCTAGAAAGATGAGGAGTGCGTATGGATTCCAGCGACAGCCAGTTTAGTTATTTTAGCATGTCACAATGGTGAGTCCTGTAATTACATTGTAGCACAAATCGGCAGAACGAGTTATACAATGTGTTGAGTTTATTAATGTGGGATTGCGATGCAGATGCATATACTACATCCCCATAATCAATGATAGGCATCAGCATTTGCAGTACAATCTTTTCCTTTACTGTAGGGCTAAGGCAGGATTTGTTTCTGTACAGGGCACCTAGTTTTGGATAAAGTTTAGATGCAAGCTTTTCTATGTGCAGGCCAAAAGATAGATTGGGGTCTAACATCATACCCAAGTATTTGAAAGAGTGGACTGTGGTCAATGTGCCATTTAAATTTGTTTTGATGGATAGGTGGGAATTGTATAATTTGTGTAATTTAGGTACTGTTCCAAAGATCATTGTGACAGTTTTGTCAGTGTTCAGGAAGAGTTTGTTTTTTGTGATCCACTTTTCTACCTCTATAAACTGGTCTTGGAGCACAGCCTCAAGCTGCGGTAGATTGGAATTGCTTGCATAGATTACTGTGTCATCTGTGTACATGTGTACATTTGAGAATTTGCAGACATTAGGCAGATCATTTATAAATAATGTAAATAGTAGGGAGCCGAGAATGGAACTTTGGGGAACACCACATGTGACTGGGAGGGGGAGGGAGTCGCTGTCAGAAATGGACACATATTGCGAGCGATCCGATACATACGATCGAAACCAGTTTGGCGAACGATCACTAATACCTACGTTTTTGAGTTTGTGCAGTAGAATGTCGTGGTCTACTGTGTCAAAGGCCTTAGCAAAATCAAGGAAAATAGCTCCAGTTAGGTCTCCTTGTTCCATGCCAGTTTGGATGTCATTGCAAACTTTTAAGAGGGCAGTTGTAGTGGAGTGATTCCGGCAAAAGCCCGATTGATCAGGGGTCAGATAGTTTGATTGTTGGTAGTACTCACTTATGGACACATTTTTCTAAGATTTTTGACAATACTGGGAGCAATGATATTGGGCGATAGTTAGAAACCAAAGTAGTGTCACCACTTTTATGGATAGGCACTACTCCTTCCAACCAAAGAGGACCTAAAGGGCACTATAGGTACCCAGAGCACTGTAGCTCATTGAAGTGTTCATGGTGCATAGTCCCAGGTCCCTTAACCCTGCAAGGTGATTATTGTAGCTTTTAATAAACTGCAATAACTACCTTTGGGGGTTAACTCCACCTCTAGCAGCTTTCTACCAGACAGTCATTAGAGGCGACTTTTGGTCTCTATGCATGAGGACATCCAGGGTCACCCGAAACCCCATAGGAATGCATTTTATAGTGCTGAGGGACATCTGTGTTGGACTCAGGTAAGTGACATAAAGTTTTTTTTAACCCTTTCTGCAACCCTGGGGGGGGGGGGAGTGGGAGGTGGACCATTAACATGACATAGGGGGCACTATAGGGAGCTAAGAAAAAAACTCCCTTCAAAGGAATGTGTGATGGACCACCTGCACCCCGACCGGGTACCTCCGTCAATCGCTGCTTCCTAGTACTGATGAGTACCATAAGCACTGCACTGGAACACCATATCCACCGTAAACCCCATGAACTGCCGCAGCTTGCTTGGGGTCTCAGCTTCCAGTGGGTAGGCCTCCCTTAGTGCCAAGAGCATAGCAGGAACATCAGGAATGATTATACTCAGGGGAGTATATTGATTATAGCAATCACCAGAGTGTAGTTCTGTAATCCCCCAAACATGAGCCAAGACTTCGTGAAGGTGCAAGATGATCTGAGCTTTAATGGTTCAGGTTGGCTTTTATACAATTCTTCAGGCCAGAGGAACACCTCCTGGACCTGATGGGGCACAGGAACACATAGGACACAAACCAATCAGAACAAACATACAGTCTGTGACACTCCTATGTACAGCACACAATCCCTCCCCTCTGCTTGGGAGAAAATTGAGTAAAGTCCTGTAAGTAACTCTATTATCTCCAGGCAGAAAAAACACATTTTACAAAGTTCCCAGAAACATAACATATCCCATAAATCACATCCCCTGATAGCCCTGATCTGGGTGAGCAACATATTCAAAAATCACCCAGATCAGAGCAAGAGTTCAGAAAACTGTGCACATGGTCCCACTCCCAAAACAGTTCCAGAGAATTAGGGCTACCAGTCGGTCTCTCTGTCTGGAGTACAAAAGCAGTGGCGTCGCTAGGGGGGGGCCAGAGGGGGCCATGGCCCCCCTACATCATGCTGTGCCCCCCCCTTGTCCCCCACCAAATGCCAGCAACTTGCTGGCCATGGGCTTCAATTATATTCCCTTGGACTGTAACAGTGTGTGACAGCCCGAGGGAATGCAGGACTGAGGTGCTGGGGGCTGTCTGTGGCTGGATGGAGCACTGATTGGCTCCCCAGCACAGGCCCTGCCCCCAAATGAAGCCCCGCCTCCCACACATAAGCCCCGCCCCCACCATAAAGCAGCAGACCATGCTGCTGCAGAAGATGGCTGCCTGACCCCCAGCAACAGCCTCCAGTGACAGGTAGGCTGGGGGTGGGGTGTTCACACACTCTACACACACACTGCCCCCCATACACACACACTGCCCCCCATACTGCCCCCATACACACACATTGCCCCCATACACACACACTGCCCCCCATACACACACACTGCCCCCCATACACACATACTGCCCCCATACACACTGCCCCCCATACACACACACTGCCCCCCATACACACACACTGCCCCCATACACACACATTGCCCCCATGCACACATACTGCCCCCCCATACACCAACACTGCCCCCTGCCCCCCCATACAGCCCCCATACACACACTGCCCCCATACACACACAGCCCCCCATACACACACACTGCTCCCCATACACACACACTGCTCCCCATACACACACACTGCTCCCCCATACACACACACTGCTCCCCCATACACACATACTGCTCCCCCATACACACACACTCTACACACATACACTATCCCCATACACACTGTTGTGGAAATAAGGTCTACACATATTTCCTAGTTAAAGGAAAATGTCTATTTACTCATCTCACACTATGCTATAGAGTTAAGCACACATGTTTAATCAAAATGGCTGCTAGAAGCTTCTAACCCCTTCCTCCCCCTGCCCCTTTAAACACCGACTAACTACCTCGTGCAGCAAGATGGCGCCGGGAAACCGTGGGAGACCCTCATGGACCTGGTGACATGAAATATTGACATATTTTTAGCTAGTAAAATGTTTATTTACTTCATTTAGTTATACTTAATATTATTCAATAAATTACTAAACTGACCACTAGATGTCACTCAGGAGTACCCCACCCATCGACCAAACACTCTAATTTTCAAGATGGCGCTGGAATCCTGGGGGAGAACTCCATGACGACAGTAATGACATAAGAAGGCACACCCTGTAGGACGTGCTTTGAATAAAACACTTAACACTTGACCAATTATTGATGTATTATTCCATGTTATCTCTGACAATGCTTATGATGTAATTTTGCTTTAAAAGGGACCTGCCGTCCCCTCTGAATAAACTTTCCTCAAGTTATTCAACAACCTAGAACCTGTGTCTGGTGTGAATTACTTCAGGGAGCGTGCACGCATTGTTTCATTGATTTGGCCAGGGGCAGATACACAAAGAAATAATCAATACTTTAATTGATTTTTCCATTTCAATTGGCGCCATAACGTGGGGCCCCCGGATTTGCCGGTTCGGAGGGCCGGATACCAAGGACCAGAGCGGACCCCCAGAAAATGGGACAAGTGGAGCCTGATCACCTCCATAATACAGCCGTTGCCTGTGTTATTCTCCTGTTTTGTGTCGGTCTGTCTCCGAGTCCACTTCCGGCTTCCAGAAGGCTACTAGAGACAGGTATTTAGCTCATCCGGGGTACCTTTTTAAAGTGAACCTGTCGATTGTCTATCTGCCTCCTGTATTTGTTTGAATGTGTGTGACGGCCGGAGTGTGTGTTTTCCCCCTTTTTAAAAGACAATAGCTTGACTGCCTAGCGGGCAGGGGACGCATTACAGCCGGTGGGGCTGGGATTTTACAGCCGGTGGGGCTGGGATTTTACAGCCGGTGGGGCTGGGATTTTAAGTTAGCTTGACTGCCTAGCGGGCAGGGAACGCATTACAGCCGGTGGGGCTGGGATTTTACAGCCGGTGGGGCTGGGATTTTAAGTTAGCTTGACTGCCTAGCGGGCAGGGAACGCATTACAGCCGGTGGGGCTGGGATTTTACAGCCGGTGGGGCTGGGATTTTAAGTTAGCTTGACTGCCTAGCGGGCAGGGAACGCATTACAGCCGGTGGGGCTGGGATTTTAAGTTAGCTTGACTGCCTAGCGGGCAGGGAACGCATTACAGCCGGTGGGGCTGGGATTTTGTTTGTTTATTACTGTGCTCCCATTAGTACTTGTGTTATACTGGGACCAGCCTGGTGGGTGAAGGCTGAGGATTGCTATACTTCGATTATTTGGCACCGGTGTCAGTAACATGTACATGGCCATTTTACTCTCTGTCATTCTGTGGTTTTTTGTTTAATTGTTGTTACAGTGTGGGTACCCTTGGTGTGTGTGTGTGTGTATGTATATAGTGTGGCTAGTTCTGGATTCTGGGGTTTACACTCATCTCTATGTTTGTGATTTTTGCAAATGTCTTCTCGTTAGTGTAACCACTTTCATCTTTTCATTTGTCCTTTATCTCTCCTGTGTTTGTTGCCCAGAGCTGTGTTAGTCACCCACGCTCGCCCTCTCCGGTCTGTGGCCACCTCCCCCGGGTGCACAGACCATCGTGACTAGTCAGTCGAGCACTGTAGACTTTCCTACTTCTTCTTCCCTCTCACTTGGTCTCCTTTACTTAGCAGACCTCGCTTGGTCAAAAAGGGGCTAGTACATGCTAGACCAGCTAAGGGGTATTTGGCTTGTGATTTTGTTAAAGAGAGGGCAGGGGAAGAAGCTATGCTGAAAATGAAAAAGTTAGCAAAGATTTCTGGTTTCCAAACGTATAAATCTCTGTCCTTCTGTCTTGTTACTTTACGGAGCTCACATGGTTAATCTTCATGCCTGCAGTTTCTCTCTCTCCCCTTTTTGCACTGTCACACTTTCTCCCACCCCTACTCCCCGCTTGCCTACATTTCTGCATTTCGGAGCTACTGATAAGAGTTAGAGAGAAAATATTCTAATTGTGTAGTATTGTGTACATTGTTCCATACATAGACGTTGTCAGGCAGGTTATGGAGCTATAATTGTGTAATATTATTATTATTGTTGCCATTTGCATGGCGCCAACAGATTCCGTAGTGCTATATATATATTTTTAAATTAATTTTTGAGATAAGGTACTGAGGATTGTGGGAGTGACGAGCTCACAAGATTGCATTCAGTGTTGAATACGGGATTTAGGAAGGTGTAGCTTGTAGCTTGTTAAGGGGAATATGCGATGTTGTTATGTCTGTATAAGAGGAGGAAAGTGATTAATGGTTAGAGGATGTTAAGGGAAATTGGTTGAATTCCGTGAGTTTATCTTGCTTCATGTTAAAGTACATTTTTTCAATGGATAGCTTTATGGGCTGTTAAATGCATAATGTTCTCAACTGTCTTATTTAACCTGCCAGGTCTGTTCATAGTTTAATATTTCATTTTGCAGAACGGAATGTTGCTTCTCTGACTTATTTTATTAGTTATAATATGGTGTATTGTTGAAAGTACGTCAGCCACCACCCTAAAGATGGCGCCTAGTACAGAAGCAGGTTGACCCTGAAAGTCCCGTGACCTATCTACAGTCACGGTTGCTTCTAAAGTAACGTCACTTCCGCCCTTACCATGCCCACACCTCCTGTCTTCCTTTCCCACACCTATCATGGACGTCACCTCACTTCCTCCCTTGCTGTCATTTCCTTCCCCGCCCCTGTCATGGCTGCCTCCATCATGAGGCCTACCCCTATCATGCTCGTCCTATTTAGAGACATTACACTCTACATATTATGAACTGAAACGTTATATTAACTAAAACAATCATGCCATTTGTTTCCCTGTATCAGAGATGTGTCCGTGATATTTAAAAAAAAAAAAAAAAAGAGGTTGCTAAAGAGTCATTTGCACCTGTGGTGTGACCTACAAATGAGTTCTGTAGGGCACGAATATAAGAGCATTACAGCTAATTATCCTGATGATTATTCATTAATGCCTGTGTCTTGCAACAAGGGATATTGCAAAATAATGCAAGTTATTTTAAACATTGTATCTTTACTTAATAGAATCTTGCTAGTTAAAAATCGTATGTTTACAGTAACATCCTTTACGTTAAATGACATTCCTCCGCCTCCCTGTCCCCCGCCACCTTTACCTATGCTTGCCTCTCGTCCCCTCTCCACCTCGACTGACCCCTCCCCAGTGTTACCCACTCACCCGTCTCCATCCGCTGCCCCGCTCTCTGCCCTCTCGACCTTACTCACCCCACCGCCCCAGATCCTCCAGACCCTTGTCCTCCCGCTGATCCCGCTTCCCTTATGCCTCCGGACCTCTCTTCTACCTCGTTGTCCCCTCCCCTCCCGACTGATTTGCCGTCCCTAATCTCTGCCCTCACTGCCCTGACCCAGTCCCCGTTACCACCCATCCAACCCCTTCCCCAGTGGTACCCCCGTGCTCCTATGCAGTCCAGCCACCCTCCCACTTCTACCCACCGGTACCAAGGACCCGACCAGGCCCATTTAGATTTACTGCAATAGGTTACCGGCAAGCCTGTGTCAGCAACCCCTGCCATGACCCCTCCTTTTTGTCAGACACCGATGTCTCCTGTGTTGGGGTGGATGATACACCCCGCAGTAGCCCCCTCCCTACACTCCTGCATGTTGGTTCATACATACTCACGTTTTGTTGTTTCTTCTACTTGTCCCATTAACCTCTTGGGTGCTGATGTTCTTTCTCGGCTCCAGGGTCCAGTTAACTACACCCTTATCACAGACAGACACCACTGTACTCTGCTCACTCCCCATCTTGTTGAACCTAACTGACAATACAGGGAGTGCACGGGTCACACACGCCCCCAGTGCTCTGGATCGTATCCCCCAAGAACTTTGGTCCACCAGCCCGGATGATATTGGACGCTTACATGTACCCCCCGTCCTGGTCCAGCTCCTGCCTGGAGCACTTCCTCTTCGTAGACCTCAGTATCCTCTGAAGTCACCACAAGCTGAAACCATCACCAAACAAGTTGAGTCTCTGCTTGCCAAAGGTGCCCTCACCAAGTGCACATCTCCATGCAACACCCCACTTTTCCCTATTAAAAAGCGAATTGTTAAGGGCCAACCCGACCAGTACCGCATGGTACAGGACCTCCGTGCTGTTAATGAAGTAACCATAAAGGACACTGCTATTGTTCCAAACCCCCATACTCATCTGGATGTTATTCTACTTCAATATGTTGATGACCTCCTTCTCTGTGCTCCTAATTTGCTTATTGCAGAGCGTGACTCAGAAGATCTCCTATGTTTCCTCGCTGCTGCAGGTTGCAAGGCCTCAAAATCAAAGCTACAATGGTGCCGGCCCTCTGTGGTCTTCTTGGGACATTGCCTTTCCCATGGCACCAAACATCTAACCTCACAACGGGTGCAAGCTATCCTGCAACTCCCATTACCTGCAACTCATCACTCTCTTCATGCTTTCTTGGGACTCATCACATACTGCAGGTCCTGGATACCTGAAGCATCCAAACTCATGCAGCCACTCTATGGTGCCCTCAGGAGTGAGCCCTTTCATCTCACTGAAGAAACTATTAACTGTTTCCATACTCTGAAAAGAGCCATTGCTTCTGCACCTGCTTTGGGCCTACCCAACTACCAACTCTCTTTCAATTTGTTTGTCTCTGAGAAATCAGGACATGCTTCCGGAGTCCTTACTCAGAAACATGGGTCCAGACAACGGCCTATTGGCTATTTTTCCTGCATGCTTGACCCTGTTGCAAGGGGCAGCCCCTCTTGCCCCCGTGCTGTGTTTGCCGCCAGTGCCCTCTTGGACAAGACTAATGACTTTGTTCTTGGCCATCACCTCACAGTGTTGGCCCCTCATGACATTAATGCTATCCTGCAACAAGTTCAACCCAAGCACCTTTCCTCCCAACGCCACCTCCGCCTGCAAACCTCCTTGCTTTTACCTGACAATGTGAAACTCCAGAGATGCCTTACCCTGAATCCAGCCACTCTTCTGCCACTTCCCAAGGGGGGAATTGTGTACCACTGGTATAGCCTGGATATCAACCCAGAAGTTCTAGCAGATCTGCAACTACCTGCACTTGCACCTCCACATGATGAACAATCAGTGGCCCTACTCCACTGTGGTATAGCCTGGATATCAACCCAGAAGTTCTAGCAGATCTGCAACTACCTGCACTTGCACCTCCACATGATGAACAATCAGTGGCCCTACTCCACTGTACTTTGTGGGTTAGGGATGAAACAGGCCCTGATATGAACTATGAGGCAGAAGTATTCCAACTCAAAGAAATCCAAATTACCCTGACTGACTTGTTTTGGGACCTCACAGGTACCATGCTCATCTTAGTCCACCTCCCAGAGAGTGTGACACATCTCTATCACCATTGGGAAACATCTATCCCACACATATCTCTCACCAGACCTCCCGACATCTCGTGGAAAGACCTAGGCCCGATGGCCAAGACCTGGAGTCAAATGAACCAAGAACAACTGACTTCTATGGGGACCAGCAAAAAGACTATTAACTACTGTACAGCAGGGTACCCTAGGTACCACACAGACGTCTGTGAGGACCCACTCATCATAGACTGTGTCCCTGATATTTCCCCACTTAGCTGATCAGGCCGCTAAGGAAGCAGCACGACAAGGATGGGAAGTGGACAGAAGAGTGGCCACAGATGCAGTACCCATCTACACTATGCAAACACTGCCTACGGATCTTAGGTTTCTGAAGGAACAACGAGCTGCTGCTACTCCCCAGGAGAAACAAAGTTGGAAGAACAAAGGAGCTGTACTCCGTGATGATGTTTACACTATCAATCTCAAGTTTTGCCTACCCAGAAATATGTATCCAGCGGTGGTCCAATGGGCCCATGGGCCAGCCCACCTGTCAAAACATCTGATGAACTCATTGATTGACAAGTATTTTGAAGCACCAGGCATCACTACCTTAACACAGAATTACTGTAAATCTTGTACTATATGTGCTAAATGCAATCCTGGAAAGATTATAAAGACTGCACCTAATCATCTAGCTAAACCACAATACCCCTTCCAGAGGATCCAGATTGATCACATTCAGATGCCAAAGAGTGGACGTTATGAATATGCATTGGTCATAGTGGACATGTTTTCAGGATGGCCAGAGGCCTTCCCAGTGACTAATCTCACCGCGAGGACTACAGCCAAGTATCTCTTGACAGAAATTGTTTGCCGCTATGGAGTTCCAGAAGAAATTGAAAGTGACCAAGGGACCTCCTTCACTGCCTCACTAACACGGGAAGTCTGGCCAGCACTGGGGGTGACCCTTGCATTCCACACACCATATCACCCACAGAGTAGTGGTAAGGTAGAGCGCATGAATGGCACTTTGAAAGCCAGAATGCTTAAAATGTCACAAGAAACTAACATGCCCTGGCCCGAGAGTCTCCCATTAGCGTTGTTTAGTGTAAGGTACACTCCTAGGGGAAAATATAGCCTATAACCTTATGAGATTTTGTTTGGTACAGCACCCAGGTTAGGTTGTTACTTTCCCCAACAGCTTCAGATTCAGTCAGATGCTATGGTAGACTATGTGACTGCCCTCTCACATGCCTTGACCAAAATACATGCCCAAGTGTTTTCTTCTATTCCAGATCCTGAGTCAAATACAGGTACACACAAGCTGCTTCCTGGTGATTGGGTTATGGTCAAGAAGTTTCTCAGGAAACACACCCTAGAACCAAGATTTGATGGCCCATATCAAGTGCTCCTGATTACAGCAACGTCAGTTAAACTAGCCGGGAAGAGTTCTTATACACGCCTCACATTGCAAAAAAGTGCCTGCTCCAGAAGAGGCTAATCTTGCTGAAATATGAATTTATTATGTGTCTTGTGTTTTCTTATGCTGCTACACTTTACCTGGGCCCAACAAGTGGCCATAACCAAAGATAATCATGTTTACACTTTTCTGGTACAATTCCTCTAACACAGATGTAGCTACATACACCTTTGATTACTGTGACATAGTTGTTTGCACCTTTTCCACAAACACAATATGCAGCCATATACAAAGACATACCTAGCAAAAAGGCTCACCTCACCAGACTGGGTAGGAACCACTCACATGACTATTAACACGTTAAAACCACATATTAAGACTCTACATGACATGGTAGCTATAGCCAATCCCACCTTTGAAGACACTATGACAGTAGAGACTGGGTATTCAGACACTAATTTGTGGCTAGAATGGATGAGATATAACGCCAACTCACATAATAAGACTAATTGTTATGTATGTGGAGGAGCCAGGCCCCATCTGGGCACAGTACCTCTAAGCCTACCTCCTGAAGTAGAATTATGTGTTCTGAGTCTTTATGCACAATCCACCACCAACTCCTCAACATGTGAATCATGGAAAAGGGTTTACCCAATCACTCATGGATATGTCAAGCCACCTGATGGAGTCACCGTGTATCCAGGTAATTACACATGTTATGCTATACCTAAGAATACTGGTGTGTATCTGGGCAGATTCCCATCTGGATATTGCTCAACCTACCATAGCCCACCTGTGTCACTGCTAATAAATCATGCAAAGACCATTGGAGATATCTATTGGTTATGTGGTGACAGACAATTGAGGTCCCAATTAGCTGAGCAATGGTGGGGGGAGTGTGCCCTAACCAAAGTCATAATGCCTATCCACATTATTCCAGATGGTAGTTATAACACGTTAACCCTTACACATGTACACTCTAGAACCAAACGAGGGGCTCCTATCCGAGGGAGCTTTGACCCCCATGTGTATATTGATGCCATAGGTGTGCCAAGGGGGGTGCCTAAAGAATACAAAGCAAGAGATGAAGTGGCTGCAGGATTTGAATCCCTAATTCCAATGATAACTTCTAACAAAAATGTCAATTGGATTAACTACATTTACTATAATCAACAGCGCTTTGTCAACTACACTAGGGATGCCCTACAGGGCCAGGCAGAGCAATTACAAGCCACTACCCAAATGACATTTCAGAACAGAATGGCCCTAGATATGATTTTAGCTGAGAAAGGGGGTGTATGTAAAATCCTCCCTGAGACCATGACATGTTGCACATACATTCCAGACAACACTGGGCCCAATGGTAAGGTGACTATGGCCATAGAGAAGCTAGATAGTCTTGCAGACGAGCTAAAGAAAAATTCAGGAGTCACTGACACTTGGGACAGATGGTTTGGATGGATGAATGGTTGGCAAAGGACCCTCTTCCAGGTAGGGACAGCTGTTCTTATAATGATCATCATTTTCTTATTTCTAACCTGTTGCGTACTCCCTTGCATACAGAAGTACTTACAAAAAGCAGTAGATAAGACTATAGTTGACGTGACCCCTACTTTCCTACATCAGGACGTCACAGACCTCGAAGATGACAAGATGACACACCACATACACCCCTTCAAGCACATCAGTTCAAACAGACAACTGCCTTTCTATAGGGATAGAGTAGGGAAAGTGTCTGTCTTGACAGGTGAGTCTCACATGTGGAGATGTAGTGGGCTAGCCACTGCGGGATACCCGCGGAGTGAAGTGTTCGATGCTTGTCAAGACAGATAGGTTGCGGGCAACTAGGGACATATTAGGGACAGCAGCAGTTGTTATGGTAAATAGCCATTTTAGGGGGGACTGTTGTGGAAATAAGGTCTACACATATTTCCTAGTTAAAGGAAAATGTCTATTTACTCATCTCACACTATGCTATAGAGTTAAGCACACATGTTTAATCAAAATGGCTGCTAGAAGCTTCTAACCCCTTCCTCCCCCTGCCCCTTTAAACACCGACTAACTACCTCGTGCAGCAAGATGACGCCGGGAAACCGTGGGAGACCCTCATGGACCTGGTGACATGAAATATTGACATATTTTTAGCTAGTAAAATGTTTATTTACTTCATTTAGTTATACTTAATATTATTCAATAAATTACTAAACTGACCACTAGATGTCACTCAGGAGTACCCCACCCATCGACCAAACACTCTAATTTTCAAGATGGCGCTGGAATCCTGGGGGAGAACTCCATGACGACAGTAATGACATAAGAAGGCACACCCTGTAGGACGTGCTTTGAATAAAACACTTAACACTTGACCAATTATTGATGTATTATTCCATGTTATCTCTGACAATGCTTATGATGTAATTTTGCTTTAAAAGGGACCTGCCGTCCCCTCTGAATAAACTTTCCTCAAGTTATTCAACAACCTAGAACCTGTGTCTGGTGTGAATTACTTCAGGGAGCGTGCACGCATTGTTTCATTGATTTGGCCAGGGGCAGATACACAAAGAAATAATCAATACTTTAATTGATTTTTCCATTTCACACACACACTGCTCCCCATACACTGCAGCCCCATACACACACATTGTAAACACTCACACACACACTGCAACTGTTACACACACATACTGTCCCACACGTACACTGCATCCCTGACATACACTGCCACCCTCACTCACACACTACAACCTTCAAACACACACACTCACTGCTCACACACTGTCCCCCTCACACACACACACTGAACCCCTTACACATTGCACCACTCACACACACCACTGCTACTATGCCCTACTACAGCCCCATTTTCCAGCAGACCTCAGGTAAGTTGTCAAACTGTTCTTAAACGGTTTGACTACTTACTCTGGCAGGGGGTCCCGGCACTATTGACACCATAACCACTACACTAAGCTGTAGTGGTTATTGTGTCTGGATTATTTCTTTAAATAATCTACAAGTGCCCCTCCCGAGATCAGGCTCTGGATCCGCCACTGCTCAGCAGTCTGTGTGTGTGTGTGTGTATGGACTCAGCAGTCTGTGTCTCAACAGTCTGTGTGTGTGTGTGTGTATGGACTCAGCAGTCTGTGTGTGTGTGCAGTCTGTGTGTGTGTGTGTGTGTATGGACTCAGCAGTCTGTGTGTGTGTGTGTGTGTGTGTATGGACTCAGCAGTCTGTGTGTGTGTGTGTGTGTGTGTATGGACTCAGCAGCATGTGTGTGTGTGTATGGACTCAGCAGTCTGTGTTTGTGTGTGTGTGTGTATGGACTCAGCAGTCTGTGTGTGTGTGTGTGTATTTACTCAGCAGTCTGTGAGTGTGTATGGACTCGGCAGTCTGTGTGTGCATGGACTTGGCAGTCTGTGTGTGCATGGACTCAGCAGTCTGTGTGTGTGTGTATGGACTCAGCAGTCTGTGTGTGTGTATGGACTCAGCAGTCTCTGTGTGTGTGTATGGACTCAGCAGTCTGTGTGTGTGTGTGTGTGTGTGTGTGTATGGACTCAGCAGTCTGTGTGTGTGTGTGTGTATTTACTCAACAGTCTGTGTGTGTGTGTATTTACTCAGCAGTCTGTGTGTGTGTGTATGGACTCAGCAGTCTGTGTGTGTGTGTGTGTGTATATGTGTGCATGGACTCAGCAGTCTGTGTGTGTTTATATATGTGTGTATGGACATAGAGTCTGCGTGTGTGTGTGAATGTGTGTGTACGGACTCAGCAGTCTGTGTATGTGTGTGCGTATGGACTCAGCAGTCTCTGTGTGTGTATTTACTCAGCAGTTTGTGTGTGTGTGTGTGTGTGTGTATTTACTCCAGCAGTCTGTGTGTGTGTGTGTGTGTGTGTGTGTGTATGGACTCAGCGGTCTGTGTGTATGGACTCAACCGTCTGTGTGTGTGTGTATGGACTCAGCAGTCTGTGGTATTATGGACTCAACGGTCTGTGTGTGTGTGTGTGTGTGTGTGTGCATGGACTCAGCAGTCTGTGTGTGTGTGTGTGTGTGTGTGTGTGTGTGTGTGTGTGTGTGGACTCAGCAGTCTGTGTGTGTGTGTGTGTGTGTATGGACTCAGCAGTCTATCAATAATTAAAATTCCTGTGAGTTGTTGTGTAGGAAGGGCCCCAGTGCATTGCTTTGCCCAGGGGCCCTTAACTCTGTTAAAATGGTACTGCTTGTGTGTGTCAGTGAGCTTCCATTTAGTGAGCATGTGTGTGTCAGTGAGCTTGTCTTTAGTGAGCTTGTGTGTGTCCTTTAACTTATTTGTAGTGAGCCTTCTGTTTATACAAGTGACTGTAGTAAGCTTGTGTGTGAGTCAGAGAGTTTTGTCTGTCAGTAAGCCTATTTGCGCATGTCAGTGAGCTTGTGTGCTTACTGTACTATATATATATATATATATATATATATATATATATATATATTGACTTGTAGGAATGGCATACATTTTTTTTCCAGGGCTGCTTTGGATTCCCAGGGATTCCCAGTTTGGCTCTGCCAGCGAGTGCACTTTACCGCTGAATCATCTGTGTGAGCTGCAGCACACTTTAGCCCTGTTACACGCGTCTGGGAGCTGCTGTTGACAGGTACTAGTAGTCTAGAGATTGGGACATGGGGTATATGCTCAGCTATCTGTATAATACAGATCTGTGTGTATATAATATCCCGGGATAGTCAGTGTTTCCTGTATAGTGCTGCTCTCTGTATAATACAGGCCTGTGCCTGTATAATATCCCAGGACAGTCAGTGCTCCCTGTATAGTGCTGCTCTCTGTCTTGGGATATTATACACAAACAGACCTGTATTATACAGAGAGCAGCACTATACAGGGAGCACTGAGTGTCCCAATTATTTTATACACAACCCTGTATTATACAGAGAGCACTGACTGTCCAGGGATATTATACCCAGACAGTAATTGATAGCTGTGCTGCAAAATGTCCTTGGAATTTTTTTTTCAAATGTTGGCAACTATGGCACTGTATCAAAGGTAATGTGTTTGTTTTTTTAATAATCCCTGGTGGAAAATAATGAATCCTCCACCAGGTATTATTAAAAAAACAAAACACATTGTGTCGGGGGCGGGGCTTAACATGTGACATGGGCGGGGTCAAACTGCAGCGAGGGCGGGGTTAAATGTGCCCCCCTACTTTTGTCTCTGGCCCTTCATGTGCCCCCCCTAAAAATAAATCCTAGAGACGCCACTGTACAAAAGTACATACTTCACAGGAACAGAGTCTTTTAAAGTGCATTGGGCAAGGTATATTGCAGGGCCCATAGTCCTGAGGCAAGAGGCCAGCAGGCCCCTCCAAGAACCCTTGATGAGGTTCAGTTTGTCTCAGGGCCATAATCACAGGGTAGGAGGCTGGCAAACAGGCCACTCCAAAAGCAGTGATGAGGTTACTTTCGTCACAGAATGCACCAAGCACCACTACCACTAAAGTCAGTAGTGGTTTTGGTGCCAAGCATGTCCAGTGCCCCTACAGTGTTTTTTTTTTTTTATTATTCATTTAAACCATGTTACCTGGTTGCCCACTGCCATATAGCCTGTCTTCAGCAGAATCCAGTTAGCGCTAAGCAAGTCCATGCTGAATCATAATCTTTGGCTGAGACCACTCAATGAGCACAGTTCTGGATTGATCAGACTTGACTCTATAAAGACATTTGGGATTTCTTGCCGGAGAAAACATGGATGCAGCACAGGCACCTGGGAGACCATGGTTTGACAAATAGCCCAGGAGTGTGCACCATAATTACTAAAGCAGTCTTGAATGAAACTTGGCATGTTTCTTTACAAATGCTTTCCCCCATGAAGCAAAATCAAGTAGGATATGCACTAAACAACACTATAAAGATATAACAAGTAGTACAAAATACTATTCCACAAGGTTATCCTATATTAATTATAAAAAAGTATGGAAGATTTCCTTTAAATAACAAAGTAGTCTTTGCCATGAAGGATTAATAAGAAAAAATAAATAAATTCTAATATGTCCGTCTTTGTATTAGGGACACACCAGGAGAGGAGAGCGGAGAGTAGGAGAGAAGGAGAGAAGAGCGTGGTCCTTTGTCCTCAGTTCTTTATAGGCAAAATTACGTCATAACTTTTCATTTAGACTGTGGCCATATTAGAAAACTTCCTGTAGTGGAGCACTAGTCCAGCAGGGATTTTTCTACAATGGTTTTCTCAAAGATGACTCAGGAACAAGGCAGGTAATCCACAGGAACAAGTAAATGCAGCAAAGTAATACAAGACCAACACCTCCCCAGTAACTGGACGACACTCCGTTTGGGGGGAATAACTGAAGGTTTAATGCTGGCACACGGCCTTTTATGTGATTTTCCCCACAAGGTTACCACCCAGGTGGACCTTGTGGGGCACCGAGTTATACAGTTAACAGACCAATGAAACAGGGTTATACATAGAGACACTTCCATACAGTATGTACAAGCCCTCCTGGTAGATAATTGAGGTAGATAATGTAATAATTAATTATCTCCAGGCAGGAAAAAACAAATATTTCTCATTTTCCAGATGTACAACACAAAAACATTACATATCCCCATAAATGGCATAGCTCTGATCTGGGTGAACAACATATCCAAAAATCACCCATATCAGAGAAGGGGTTCACAAATTCTGTGGAAGTCACATTTGACTGACCGAATGCTTGATTTCATGCCCAAAAGAGTTCCAGAGAATTAGGCTGTGCAGCCGGTCTATCTTCTCAGTCAAATAATATGTAAATTGCACAAATGGATCCGTTAGTGTATACCTTTATTATATGTATCTCGTTTGGTAGATTGTTTTTACAGAATAGCGCTCTGTTCGTACACTTTTAGGTGAACTTCGATGGAGGTGTTAGTCCCAGCAGTGTTCGCGCCATCGAGTGTCCGATTTTAGTTCCATGCACTCGACGACCAAACACCACTGTCTTTGTTCATGTCCCAAGATGGCTGCCGCCACATGTTCATCTATACGAACGACGACCACCCAGCCTACTGCTTGGAACGTTCGTGTGGTTGAGGTTTGTGGAGGTGTTAACTGAGTTAATGAGCGGCACACTCCATAGCTGAGTGGTCTGTCGTTCGGTAGTTTGTTCGGTTGTTGTACAAAACCGTGGGAACCATTTAAGGGAATGTATTTTGACAAACAGCCAGGCGAAACAGGGGAAAATATAGGTAACAAAGCCAGGGGAGTAAGTCTCGCACAGTTAGGGTTACTTTCCCACACAGGGGGACAAGGAGAGGGGAAAACAAAGGGGATAAGGACAGCCCATAGTTGGAATAAATAGGATAGCAGGGTCCATTCTGCTACAGTGTGTATCTGTGTGTCCAAGTGTGTGCATGTGTCCAGATGTGTGCATGTATCATTGTGTTTATGTGTGTATCTGTGTGTCAATGTGTATGTTCATCTTAGTATGTATGTGCAAACACACCGCTGCAAACTCAATCATTATATACTAACACACCCCTAAATTCAAACTCCAATATTGTATACAAAAACATTCTTCACTCACACCAATACTACACATATATGAACATCTGCATTTAATAGACAACAATACATCCAAATACACCCCTGTATGCAATTACAAACGTTACATATAAACACACACTTTATTAAAACGCTAAAATGATATATAAACACCAACTCTACACACAAAAGCACACCTGCCTTTAAAAGCCAACACTACATACAAACACACACCCCTGCATTCAAACACAAACACTACATACAAGTACAAAAATGGGTAACACAAAGGTAAGGTAGGGCTGTGCCACAAGCTAGGAGTGAATAATAAATATATACATATATATCTATATGTGGTGTAGAAAAGTCTTGATAAGGGTGAGTTATTTTGAGGACATGAGGATGTAGTCTTTCCACTTCTCAGATGACCATAATATTCAGAAGGGGCGACAAAAAGTGAAGAAGTTGATAGTGCGTTAAATCTCACTAGGTATAGATATAGCAAAAAAATGCGAGTGTTCTGGGACTTGAGAGATGTCGAGACCCAAAATGACAAAAGAGGTGGCAATAGTGCACTGAATAAGATATAAATAGGCAGTCACAGTAATTATAGGCTAACACTCACATTTATTAGAGCTTAAGCCAGCTCTGGTGTGTATAGCATACAGCGTTATAATCCCCACTTGAAGGATATGGTATGAGTGTGCTTAGAGATGGGGTTGTCGGGAACCCAAAACGACAAGAAGTAAAAGGCAGTGATAGTGCTCTCAATAAAATATAAATGGTCGGTAAGATATGATAAAAAATTATACTCACAGAGATAGAGCAGGCTAACTGCTCTATGATGACCGCATCGGTGGATTGATCCCAACCTGGGATTCTTTGGAGTACAGGATAAAAGTTGTAGTTGCCAGGTAGAATAAAAGTTATTGTGTCAAAATAACGTAGAAGAAATAAAATAATAATATAATAAAAGTATATTAAAAGATAGTGGCACAATAGTAGGTGACCAAAATCTATTTATTAGTAGAAAACAACAATAATATACATCCAAACGCATTTCGCCATAATGGCTTTATCAATGGAGTAAAAACTTTCTACCTAGCACTGTAGGAGTTGTTATAGGTATGGGATAAGTTAAAATTGGCGCCAAAATTGGTCCATCCAATGAAAAATCATAATGTGATAACATGTACAAAACAGTTGGAAATACTAATATTTCAAAGGATCCAACATTGAGGCAGTTTAATTTGTGTAAATAAGTGTAAAACAAGGGTTATGTGGGTTAATAATTGGCATTGTTTGCCAAAACACGTGGTAAGCGTCATTGCTGTGTCATACTGGACCTTTAGTTTCAGTTGGTTAAACTACACCTTGCCAGATCGATCGGAGGTATTATGAGGCCGGTCGTGGGGGAGATGACATAGACCACTAGTGTGGTAATAAGAGAACAAAGGGGGAAAAGAGATAAATGAAAACTTTGGGAAAGAGGAGAAAATAGTGGCATTGGCCATCTTGGAGAGGAAAATGGGAAATATGAGACAATGGGGAAATCCATTCTGCAGATATGACTGTGGGAAGGTGAATTAAAGAATATGGCTGGGAAGGTCTGGAAAAAGGAATGGGCAAATGTAGATGAGAGATGAATTGGGGGGATATGTATGGGGGGAGATTAATTTTGGAAATGTGGGAATGTGAGTTAACCTGTGGAAATATTGCTATTGTGAAGAATAACTATGCTATGATATGAATTGGTGGGGATTGGCATTGAGTGGAATAAAACTGAGACAATGATATTAGTGGATGCATTAGTAAAATATGGCAATGGGGTTGAATTGGGGCTAATTTACTGGGATGTTAGAGGATATAATCTATAAATCTGTAGGTCAACAGCAGGTGATATTGTTTTGGATTCAGATGAATGGGAAATAAAACAGGGAAGCATTAACTGAGATGGGATCTGTTGAGAAAGTGAATACGGGACAGAGTATAATTTACTTGTACCAAGTAGTGGCGGAAGGCGATATTTGCTAAATGTGGGTTTGGCTTTAGAAATGGAAGTTTTGTGTGCATGAAGGGCAACATTTTGTCCTGGCTCAGGTATCACAGTGTCTTAGGCCACCCCAAACAAAGCAAATATTTTTTATTAATTAAAGGCTGACATATTGGTAATGAAAGTGCTACATAGTAATATTTATCTATTTAATTTTCAGCAACAATATTCGCATTGAAATCGCAAAAACGTTTGGAGCTATATCTGTATCCAAGTGTGGCAGTAAGTAATTTTACTTGAGCAATGTCATACTAAATTGACACACACACACACATATATATGGTATAACAAATTCAAAAGAAGAAGAAATATAATGGTGTTCTATAAGTGAAGGCTCAAACAGAGCTCCTCACTCCCAATGGCATAACTAATGTGGAGAGGGCACTGGTGCAAGAAAGTATTTTGGGCCCACCTCTTGTGCAAGAGTGGCCAAAAGATGGCCATGTCTATCTAATTTACAATTCCAATGATGCTATTCCAGCTGGGAATCTACCATTTGCCCATATTTGCAGGGTTATATTTGTGAGAAGTGTTTTGCGCATGTAAGCATGTTTTTGTATAGAGTATAATGTGTGCATATAGGGGTGTATTTGCGTATTTGTACTGTTGCCATTGAAATGCAATTTTTTTGTGTAGTGTTTGAATCCAGGGGTGTGTTTGTATGTAGTGCTGGCTTTTAAATGCAGGTGTGCTTTTGTGTGTAGTGTTGGTAATTGATTAAAGGGGTGCTTGTATATAATTTTAGTGTTTTAATACAGGGGTGCATTTGTATGTAATGTTTGCGTTTGGTTGCAGGGATGTGTTTGGATGCAATGTTCGCTTTTAAATGCCAATGTACATTTGTGTGTAGTATTTGTCTTTAAGTGAAGGGGTGTGTTTGCATATAATTTTGGAGTTTGAGTGCAGGTGTGTATTTGTATGTTGTGTTGGTGTTTGATTGCTTTTATGTATGCACATACACACATACACTGCCTTATACATACATATTTACACAGATATATATACACATTAACATACAGATAAACACATACAAACACACTGACACAGACACACAAATTTGTCTACACATACACACTGATACATGCACACACCCTGACACACAGATACAGCCTGACATATACACACACAAATGCAGATGCACATCCTGACACACAAATACACACACACTGATACACACACCCTGACACACAGATGCACACACACTAACATTCACACCCTGACACATAAACACATACACACTGACACGCATACTGAGACACACATGCACCCTGACACACAGATGCACACACACTGACATGTATACACCTGCACAAATGCACACCCTGACACACACACAAACTGACTTACATGCTTACACAGATATACCTACACATTAACACACAAATACACATATATATATACACACTGACACATAAAAACACAAGGATGCACACATTGACACAAGCACACCTTGACACAGACACACACACACTGACACATACACACATCATGACACATACACCAATACATTCACTGACACATACACACACCGTAACACAGATACACACACAATCTGACAAACTCATAAATGTAAACAAATTTATTTTTTTATTTGGATCCAGCAGAGATCCCTACTCCTTTATTTAGTATCAGAATCTTTCACCAACCCAAATAATGCCAAAACTGACAAATAATTGCTATTTATTAGGCAACCAGATGACATATGGTATGGCATAGAACCACTTATTTGTCAAGGTTCCTTAATTTCTTTCTTCTTAATTGATTCATGTATGCTAATGAATAATAGTGGTGGCTAGAATGAAGAATCTTGAAAACCTAAATGTCAATTATTATATTTCCAGCTACCCTACATACCTTTCATTTCCTGGGGTCCTGCTGCTGCTTCTGCAGCCTGAGAATATCAGGTGTTGTTGTCTGCTGCAGCCTCTGGCTGTCTGTCTCCATGCTGCCTGTGCAATCTCCGCTGCCTCCTCCCTCGACTTGGCTAACAAGCAACCTGTCACAGACTTGAACATTGTCTTATATAGAGAGTACATAGGGTTATCATTAATAGTAAATAGCAAATTTTCAAGCTGGATAAAAGTGGTTGGTGATGTCCCTCAGGGTTCTGTTCTGGAACCACTTTTTTTTTTTAAAGGACACTATAGTCACCAGAACAACTAAAGCTTATTGTATTTGTTCTGGTGAGTAGAATCATTCCCTTCAGGCTTTTTGCAGTAAACATTGTCTTTTCAGAGAAAATGCAGTGTTTGCATTACAGCCTAGGAATGCCTGCACAGACCACTCCTCATATGGCTACTAGAGGAGTTCCCTGGGGCAGTGCTGCACAGTGTGCAGCACTGCTATTCATTGTCTTCACCCTCTACATGGAGACACAGAACTTTCCTCATAGAGATCCATTGATTCGATTAATCTCAATGAGGAGAGGCTGAATGTCCAGGGCTGTGTTGGCTCTGCCCCTGATCTGCCTCCTTGACAGTCTTTGCCAATCCAATGCTTTCCTATGTGAAAGCATTGTGATTGCTGTTGAGCAACACTTCTGATGATGTCAGCTAAGCAGACAGATCTGGGGCAGAGCCAGCACCAGATGACTGGAGTAAATGTAAGATTCAGAGGCAGCTCTCTAATTAGGCGATTTAGGCAGCCGCTTAAGGCCTCTGGCTGTCTGGGGCCTCGTGGCCGCCTAAATCACCTTAAGGCAGACTAACATGTTGGGTCTTAGGTCTATGACAGAGGGCCCAACACAGGAGGGGGCCCGGCAGCTTGCCCATAATGTGCTGCAGACTGAGGTGTCTCGCGATCTCCAGTCTGTCAGAGTGTTGCCGTGGGTTACCATGGCAACGCTCTGAATGGAGCTTGTGAGACTTACCACGTGGTGCTGCAGACCGGAGAGAAAGAGGGCACCGTAGTACCACCAGGGGATCGTTTTGAAAATCCAGTTGCGGGCAGCGCGGTGCATTTGAAATGCCCATTTGGCATAGGAGTCTCTGCCAGTTTTTCTGAGATCCTTGAATTTCTTTCTATGTGCCTCTGACGGCATAGCAGGCCCCTCTCAGTCTCATTGGAGATATCTTTTCCAGAAGCTCAAGGAAGCAGGGTGAAGGGTCAGGACCTGCTTAGGGGGGTCAGCCTGGATGTTGGTAGGCGAGCATTCCCTCCAATGGCCATTGGAGTAACTAAATGACTTCCATTTGTCTAAATATACATAGGGATTGAGGAGAGAGCACACATAACTTTTTTTTCTTTGGTTTTTACTATATATTGGGGCTGATGTGTACTGTGGTCGTTGCTGCTGCCCAGGAGTGATTTGCCAATGCAGAATTGCCAATGTCTGTGTAGATTTAACCTACACAGACACTCAATCAAGAACAACAAGGAAAACTGATATTGTACCCCTGCTGGTCATCATTTCACCCAGACTGATCACTCCATCCAAAAAAACCTCAGGATTAAAATTCTTAAAGGGAATTTCAAAAACTCATGAACGAAAGACATTTAAAAAGAAAATGATCACACATTTCAACACTATCTTATTGACTCGCCTCTGTTTATTTACTTTTGGCTATTCTTAGCTAATTTGCACCTTTCACTTGCAGGCACATCTTCTGCTATTTATGACACCCCACTCACCCCCTTCTCTAACAGTTGTTTTAAATGTTAACCTCTATCAGATTGATCAGTATTGCTTCAGACCTGAGGAAGAGAGGAAAACTCTTGAAAACTTGCCAATAAAATGTATAATTGCATACTGCAATACTCTGGTATTGTGGTATATATATTTGTAGTAAGCTGAGATATAGTATAGTAGTGGTGGTATAAATCGATTGTGGTGTGCCGAAATCTACGTTCAGGTAGGCCTGTAAAAGAGGGCCCACTAAGTGAATGCTTAATAAAGGGAGCAGGGGGTGGGCTGAACCAAGAGATCTCAGCCCAGTGGGTTCTGCTTTTCCATATGTAGTCAGGGACAATAAGCCGAGTTATAGTAGAGTTGGTATAAGTCGGTTGTAGTGTGCCGAAATCGATGTTTGGGTAAGCCTGTAAAAGAGGGCAAAAAGTTAACAGTTTAATCCTAAATACATGTTGACATTACATAACCAGTACTTTAAATGCCTGCCTCAGTTCCCTATCTATTTGAGGGATATCTGGTGAATGCAGACGATTCCAATGTCCCAGTTTATGATGTGTCCTGGGATGTTTACTAAAGGCAGAAGCAGTACTTATTCTAAAAGAATTACTTGAATATGTTGAAGGGCCATATCCAAGTTTTTTTATTATTATTATTGCTATTTATATAGCGCCAACAGATTCCATAGTGCTTCACAATATTATGAGAGGGGGGATTTAACTATAAATAGGACAATTACAGGAAAATGATAGGTTGAAGCGGACCCTGCTCAAACAAGCCCACTGCGATAGCCCAAGGCTGGAGGTAATTGAAAGTAGTTTAGAGGCTGCTATGGTCAGGAGTGGGTTAATGGGAATATTGAAGTCCCCGAGAATTAGGGATGGAATAGTGGAGGAGAGGAAGTAGGGTAGCCAGGCAGCAAAGTGGTCAAGGAAGAGGAGAGAGAAACCAAGGGGTGCGAATGGATGTATTTAAAAAGGCAAATCAAATGGATTTCAAATGATGAGAAAGAGAGGGAAGGCGGGGGTGGGTAGATGTTTGAAGGAGCAGTGAGGTGAAAGTAGAAACCCTACACCACCACCTTTACATTCAGAGTGTCTTGGGTTGTGGATAAGTTGAAGACCACCAAAAGATAAAGATGCAGGGGTAGCAGTGTCAGAGGGGGAGAGCCACGTTTCTGTTAAAACTAGTAAATCTAGGAAACGAGAGATGAAGAGGTCGTGGACAGCAGTGGATTATGTAGAGGGGAGGAATTTCCTGTAATGCATGGGAGTGTTTAACCTTGTGATTGTACACTATTGGCTGTTAAATGTATTTTTCGGTGCCTCACAATGTCCACCTGGGTGGTAACCTTGTGGGAAAAATTGCATAAAAGGCCAGTCTGGCACATTGAACTCTCAGATCTTCTTAACCCTCAATACGTAGCCTCGTCTTGTGTTTGTAGAGAACCTGCTTCCAGCTAATCACTAGCTCTTGTAAGAGCTCTGCTATTTTCTCTCTACTGGTTCAGCTGATGGGACATCTGGAGAATACTGCAGCACAGCTTTTCTCAAGGGAAAAGGACGTCTCCAACAGCATACACCACTCTAATATCGAGGGTGGCCG